TCGCGTGTGGATTTCTCGCCAAGCCGGTGCCGCAGAGAGAGGCCCCTTGTCCAGGGAGCCGCAGCGATCTCCACTCGGTCGTGCAGAAGCAGCTCTTGACCCCGCTGCTCTTCCGTGGTTGAAAAGGAGGGCCAAGCACCTGCCCACACTGGGCGCTGGAAAGAGAGGCAGGTCCTCCCTGCGGGCGGGAGAGGCCTTGCCCGTCTCCAGGGCAGCTTAAACGCGAGGGAGGCTGCCCAGCCTCATGAGCATACGCAAAAGCCGGGCTGTTGCCAGGGGAGGCGTGATGGGGCAGGTGTCGAGGAGCCACCCCCAGCTAGGCCGGCTGGTAAGAGCCCCGGGTTCCCGCCTCGTAGAAACACAGAAGCAGAGCGAGTCAGAAGGGGCCTCCTGGGCCACCTAGTCTGACCCCCGGCTCCAGCGAGCTCTGCTCAGGACACACCTACCATCTCCACCACCACCGCCGTGGCGTTTGCCGGCCTCTCCCTCTGTCTGCCAGCCGAGCGAGGAGTGGCACGGAAGAGGTCCCGAATTGCACCGGGGAGGTAGGCGGGCATCGGTCTTCTGGCCAGGCCAAGGGAGCCATGGAGCTTCGCAGCTGAGCTACTGTTTCGGCCAGGGAGAGCGCAGCCCAAACCCAGCCCCAGCCCCAGCCCTCCCCACCTCGCTGCAATGGCACGGAGGGGAACAGCTCCTGCACCCGACACGACCGGGACCCCTCGCCTTTGGCTCCGGCTTGTGGGCCAAAATACCCGGATCTGCCCTCTTTGCGCTGAAGCAGCCCCACTCCTGCCCACCCGCCCTCCCTCCCCCAGGCCAGTCTGGCGCTCCCCGGCCACCCAGCTCCCCCAGTTCCTAACGGGGGCCACTCCAGGCCCACCCAGACCACACGGACACATCGGCTGGTCCCAGCGGCTTGGCCTGCTTTTGCACAGGCGGTCCGAAATTGGGGGCACCAGAGCTCGAAAACCCACAGTTGCCAGCAAAACGTGACAGAGGCGGTGGCCGTTGCGTTTATGTGGCCATGCTTCCTCAGGCAGGGAATCCGGGCTGCTCACAAGCCCCCCCCCCCATTTTATCCTGTGACGTAGGCTAGGCTGAGAGGCAATGGCTACCCAAAGCCACCCAGGGAGGCCACGGCCCGAGTCCCAATCCTACTGCGGTGCTCACACGCTCTGTGCTCGCTTTTGACATCCTCAGAACTCTTGGGAGGAAGAAAATCGCTCTGGAATGAGAACAGGTCGTAGGCGGATCCCGTGTAGCGACCCAAGGCCACGACCCACCCGGGGCACCGCTCCCTGGGCACGTGGCCATCTGGCAAGCAGCTGCCCTCCACAGATCTCTCTCAGATCCTTCTAAGCATCTTGTGGCAAGAAGTTCCACAGGTTAACCATCCGCGAGAGGGAAAAGGACTCTTTGCTTGGACCTGAACTCCCTGTCCCGGCAAGAGAAAGTGGGGGCAGAAATCTCCCCCCACATCGTTCCCGAGCTCCGGGTCTGCTCCTCCTCAGCGCGCCCCTTCCTCACACTCAGAGAAAACAGCACAAGCCGCCACGTGATGGGAGGGGCCGCCCCATTCGCATTAATAACAATCCATCCGTAATCCCGGCAAGCTTTTCGGGGGGCCAGGAGCCCCTTCCTTTTGCTGGCCCTTTTCTGATCACGTTGGATGGGGGTCCTGGGGGCATTTAGCTGCAATGATTGGCGGCCTATTAGCCCTGCCCAGACGCCCCCCCCCCCCCCGTGCGTGCCGGCTTCTTCATCGCCGCCTGGAGCCCCGACTGGCCGGGCTGAGCGAGGCTCGTCTTGCGTCTTGTGAGCTGCCCGCCCGAAATATCTCAGAAGATCGGCTGCCCTGCGAGGGCACGCGCCCGGCCGCCCGCTCGCCCTGCGGCAGCGATGCCCGGCCCCCGGCCCCCCGGCCCGGCCTGCATCGCCCCTTCCGGAGGAGCCGGAGCCGGAGCCGTCCCGCTGAGCATCCCCGCCGGAGGACATCCAGCCCGGTTGCCGTGGCGACGGCAGGGAAGCAAGGGCGCCTGGGAAGGGGGGTCGGACGCATATATAGGCGAGGCCGGAGCTGCGGCTAAATTTAGGCGCAGGAGGCAGCGGCCCGTCGCCTGCACGCCCGCGCCGGGGGATGGCCCGCGGGCCCCGGGCGCCATGGGCGGGCCGCCGCTGAGCCCCCCACGTGCCACGCCGCCTTCAGCACCACCAGGTGAGGACAGCTCCGGCCCGGCCAGCGGCGCTGGGGGGGGGGGGCGGCCCCGCTGGCGATCGGCCCACCGCTCGCCCAGCGCGTCCCCCTCTCGCAGCCGCCCCACGGCAGGCGGCCAGGGGGCGGCATGGGAAGGGCGGGGGGGCGGAGCCGGAGGCCCCCTCGGGACCGGAGGCTTGGAGACAGCCCCGCCGGGGTCTCATCCCCACAGCCGCTGCCCGTGCGGGGGGAGGGGAGCCGGCGGAGGGGAGGAGTGATCTGGGGAGGCTGCCCTAGGGGGCTCGCCATCTGAGCAGCCCCCCTCGCCAGCACATCCGCGCCCCGCAAAGTGGGACAGGCTGAGAGGGAGGCTGAGTGGGGGGACCAAGGAATTCCAACTTCCGGGGGGTTGGGACTTGCGGAAGCAGGTGAGCATGTGGCCCGCTCTTCCATTTATGCTGACACCGACCCTGGGCCGTGGGGGAGTCCAAGCCCCACTTAGTGGGGCCACGGGGGACCTGGGCGCAGGCCAAATGCCCCAAACCCACCCACGCACCCACCCGCGGCTGGGGAGCCCTGGGGAAGCCTCCTGGTGCCTTCGCGGCTTGTGCCCCCTCCCCAGGAGCCTGCGGAGGACGGGCCAGAGCTCCAGGCGGGTCCCCCAGGGACCGGCCACCAGCCAGAGCCTCTGGGCACCAGGCGCCTGTGGCACTGGCAGCCTCTGGAGGGCACGGCACAGGGAGGGCTGCCACCGGCGCCTGGTGCCCTTGCCCCTCCCCTGCTGCCCCCCAGGGCTTCCTCCGGGACAGAGCACCCAGCAAGGGTGCAGCGGGGGCAGGCGGCCCCCCCGCAGGGAGCCGGGGCAGGCGGCGCTGCTGCGTCGGGCAAGGGCAGGCCATGATTCACAGGGCTATTTTTGCGTCGGAGTGGGTGTTTCTTAGAAAGGCCCTGGGGCGGGGGAAGCTCCGCCAGGCAGCTCAGAGGGGTGAACCCGGCTCTGCGAGAGCGGGAGCAAGGGGGTCTGTCCAAGTTCCTTTGGGCTGGATCTCGGGAAGGCAGCCCTGAAAGTCCGAGCGCCCAGGTTCGAGCGGCGCCTGGCTTGGCCCGCCGCCCTGGGGGCTGGTGTGCGGAGGGCAAGGGGCGGACGTGGCCGCAGCGATGGCCACGAGGAATCGAGGCCACGGGGGAGGGCCCCTGCGCAGGGAAAGCCGTCCCCGTGGCCACTCCTGCGGTGCCCGGCTGTGCTGGGCTCGGGCCCGCCGTGGGTTCTGCTCCCGAGGCCTGCGGCGGGGGGGCTGTGAGCCCCCCACCCCCCGAGAATATCCCCCGTGTGCACCGCCTCCCTCATGGGTGTTTGCCTCTCACCATCCAGGAATAGATCTGGCCACCCGCTCCAGAGCCTGCCGGGGAAAGGGCTGCCTGGAGCTGCGCTTGGCAGGCCGCCTCCCCGCACCCACCTGGGGGCCTTGGACCCACAAGGCGGGGGGGTGAGCCGGGTATTTCTGCAGTGCCGTTGGCCCCTTTCCCGCTCCACCAGGGGTACCGGATGGCCTGGGGGGGCAGGATCAGTGGCGCAGTGGGTGTGGGAGGGTTGCGGGGGGGTCCCTTGGCAGGGCTCCATTGACGAGCCAGCGAAACAAAGCTACCCTGCTGTATCCTGGGGACTCGAGTCTCCTGGGGAGCATGGGGGGGGTTGTCCCATCTGCCTGGTTCAGCAGACATGCAAGCAAGCCCCCCTGTGACCTCCTGATTGCTGGGGGCGACGCTCCACAGAACTGGGGGATGCTCCATCAGGTAGGCCGGGCTCTAGCCATGCTCCCGTCCCGAATCTAGTCTGGGGAAACCGATGCCACATTCCTTCCGCTGGCCTGACGGGGCCACAAGGCTCTGGCATAACCACCCCCCCCCCGCCCGGGATGGCGTGGGTGATGGTGTGGAGGAGGCTTCCCGGGCCCTACGTTGGCCTGGAAGGCATCGGCAGGTGGGTGCCTCTCACAGCCGCCCTCCGTGCCCCGTGCGGGCCCCAGTCGGGTCTGAGTCTGCAGCGAGTGTGGCAGTCCCTGCCCTTGAGCAGCAGCCGCAGTTCTGACGCTCTGCGCAGGCCCCCCGAGACGGAGACCTCGAACTTGCCCTTTGCTCAAAACCAGCACAAAAATCCACCCCGGAACACCCAGACGTGGCCGGAAGACGCAGGGACAGGGCTGCTGTGACTTTGTGCAACCCCCGCCCCCGGGCCGATGCCAGATGCGCCACCACTGGGGCACCAGCACGGTGCACTTGGGATGCCAGAAGCTTCCCTGAGGTGCGTGCCAGTGCCCATCGGCCCCATCCGACAGGGCCAATGCCAGGCAGGAAATCCACCCGGACGCCCTGCACTCGGCTATGGAGCAGGCCCCCTACCCAGGCTGCAGGCCCCGCTTGCGCTCAGGCAAACATCTCCTTGAAAACATGTAAAGATCACGCAGATGCTGGAACTGGAAGCCAAGAAAACTGCAGCCCTTTTCATGGGTACGTCCGAAGGCAGCAGGGCTGAACAGCAGCCGATTCCCGCAGCCCAGCCACCGTGTCCCCCACTGGAGAACTGGCACCCTCCTCAGCCCCCCTTCCTCGCCCTCTCTCTCTCCTTTTCCTTTCTTTCTCACTCTGCTTCTGTTAGTCTGGACATGCTCAGGGCAGGCATGTCATGAGCAGAGCCAGCTGGAGCCGGGGGTCAGACTAGATGGCCAGGAAGGTCCCTTCCAACTCGCCCTGTTTCCATGTTTCTCTGCAGATGCGAAGGAGCCGCGCCGGCCCCCCAGGAGCTAAGATGGCGAAAGAGAACGCGGCGCTCTCCGCCCTCCCCGAGACCCCCGTGTCCAAGGCCAAGGCAGGGCTCGCCTCCCGCCCGCCCAAGTCCACGGCCCTGAAGCGCCTGGGCGAGGAGCCCGAGGAGCCCGAGAAGCGGCGGGGGCGCCAGCGGTACGTGGAGAAGGACGGCAAGTGCAACGTGCAGCACGGGAACGTGCACGAGACCTACCGCTACCTGACCGACATCTTCACCACCCTGGTGGACCTCAAGTGGCGCTTCAGCCTGCTGGTGTTCATCCTGGCCTACGCCGTCACCTGGCTCTTCTTCGGCCTCATCTGGTGGCTCATCGCCTACTGCCGGGGCGACCTGGAGCACCTGGGCGACGACGCCTGGACGCCCTGCGTCAACAACCTGAACGGCTTCGTCTCGGCCTTCCTCTTCTCCATCGAGACGGAGACCACCATCGGCTACGGGCACCGCGTCATCACGGACAAGTGCCCCGAGGGCATCGTGCTGCTGCTGCTGCAGGCCATCCTGGGCTCCATGGTCAACGCCTTCATGGTGGGCTGCATGTTCGTCAAGATCTCCCAGCCCAACAAGCGGGCCGAGACGCTGGTCTTCTCCTCGCACGCCGTCATCTCCCTGCGGGACGACCGCCTCTGCCTCATGTTCCGCGTGGGCGACCTGCGCAACTCGCACATCGTGGAGGCCTCCATCCGGGCCAAGCTGATCAAGTCCAAGCAGACGCAGGAGGGCGAGTTCATCCCGCTCAACCAGACGGACATCAACGTGGGCTTCGAGACGGGCGACGACCGCCTCTTCCTGGTCTCGCCCCTCATCATCAGCCACGAGATCAACGAGCAGAGCCCCTTCTGGGAGGTCTCCAAGGAGCAGCTCAGGAAGGACGAGTTCGAGATCGTCGTCATCCTGGAGGGGATGGTGGAGGCGACAGGCAAGTGCAGTTTCCTGGCTCGGGGGCCCTGCCCCCCACTTCTTCTGCCCCCCCGGGCGCCCCCTTGGCCTGGGGTCCCCGGTGGGGCTCCTGGCAGCCCTGCCCCCCGACCACCTACCTTCGTGCGGCTTCCCCTCCCTTCGAAAGGCCAGGGCGCCCCTCCCGGCACCAGCTCCCCGGTCCCAGGGCCCGCCCTGGCTCGCTGCCCCCCAACTATGGAAGAGCCCCCAGAGAGATTCACCCAGCACTGGCTCTCTTGTCTCTTCAGTGGCAGGTGAAGAGGCTTCTTTTCTCAGTCCTCAATTGTTTATTTTTGATAGCTGGGGTTCTGCTTACTTAGTTACAAGTATCAACAGTAATATTTTCAATGTGGTTTTTAACTGGTTTTCTGGTTATTTATAGTATTTTACTGCAAGTGGCCTAGGATTAGCGGGCAGCACGTGAATTCAAAAGCAAACAAACAAACGAACGAATACATATAACGTGGGGTTACATAAGCCGGCTGCCGGTGCTGCGTCCATCGCCACAGCGACCGGCCGGGATGCTGCTCGGGGATGGAGACGCGGCCCACGAGGGCAGGGACCCCAGGGGCAGCCGCGGGGGGGGGGGGGGGACGCGGCCCGGCCGGCCTCTCTGGGCAGGGCTCCAGGGATGCCGCCAGTGGGGCTGGCAAGGAAGCCGGCCCCGAACGAGCCCCCCGCCCTGCGGCTGCCATCTCTCCTGTCTCCTGCACAGGGATGACGTGCCAAGCACGGAGCTCGTACCTGGTGGACGAGGTGCTGTGGGGGCACCGCTTCATGTCCGTCCTGTCCCTCGAGGACGGCTTCTACGAGGTGGACTACAACAGCTTCCACCTGACCTTCGAGGTGCCCACCCCCAGCTGCAGCGCCCGGGAGCTGTGCGACGCGGCGGCTCGCATGGACGCCCACCTGTACTGGTCGATCCCGAGCCGGCTGGACGAGAAAGTGGAAGACGGGACTGAGGAGAAGCAAGAGGGAGTGGAAGATGGGCCGGAGAAGGACGGGGAAGTGGACGATGGGGCGGAGGAGAAGCGCGAGAAAGCCGACGATGGGCCGGAGGGCGGCACGGCGAGGAACGGCAACCTCACCAGCCTGGAGAGCGAGTCCAAGGTGTAACTCCACTGCCGGAGGGCGAGCTGGAGAGGCGCTCGGCTGGGGCTCAGCGAGGCAAGCAGCTGGGGCCTGGCCCCACTCCGGCTTCCTGGCACCTGCGGGGAGCCGCCTGGCCTGGCCCCAGGTGTGGAAGCGAAAGGTGTGATTTGCGTCAGCAGAGGGGCAAGGGACTGGGCCGTGCGCAGGAAAGACAACTTTCGAGAGGCAGACTGCAGGCCACCCAAGACCCTCTCTGGATCTGAGGGGGTTACGCTGCATCGTGTGGGCCGGGAGAGGGACGGGGGGCAGCGGGCGGGCGCCCGAGCATGGGTGCGAGAAGGGGGCAGAGGCTCAGGTTGGGCGGATGCGGCACACCTCAGACTTCACTCCCCAACCAGGCCTCCCCCACCCTGCTTGGTCAGCCTCCTCGTTCTTCTGTGGGGCACTCCACACACGGCTCACCCAGTGCCAGCGCCTGTCCTGCACATGCCCAGCCAGCCTTTGACGTGAGGAACCCCACAAGGCAAGCATTTGCGCCGTTGCTTCTGGATGAGGCCCGGCAGCCCTGAGCACCCCCAGGACTCGGGTGGACCAATGTGGCTGCACAGGATCCCAGGGTGAGCCGGGACCCCGGCCGCTGTGCGGACCTCCGCCAGCTCCCCAGCCCGACAGGTTCCAGCTGTGCTGGGCAGGCAGGGGCCCAGCTGCTCCTTCAGGCCCCGGCCCACCCCAGACCCTCCACGCGGCAACCAGGCGAGCCGGGAAGGCCACTTCTCTGGTGTGGGCTGCAGCAGAGCGGGGGGGACGAGGCAGCCAGGGGGGCCCGATGGAGTGAGCCCCCCCACGCATGCAGAGACCCCCGCACAGCATTCCTACAAGCCCCACCCCGCACATCCACCCCCGGCACAGGTGCAGCCCAGCAGGCGACCCAACGCTGGGCAAGGAGGTCTCAACCCGAGCGCTTGCCCAAGGCCCACGGCGTGGATCATGGGGACCACGCCACGGCTGCACAGGCGCAGGCTAGAGGGTGCTGCACAGCCTGGGGCTTGCTTCCTCGGGGTCCCTCCACTGGCCAGTGGCTCATGGGGCGGCCAGACTCTTCCGGATCGGGGGAGAAAAAGACCCTTTCCCAGGGAGGCTCCAGAGTTTGTGGCACCAGCATCGGGCCGACACAAGCAAGGAAATATTTTGAAATAAATACATCAGACTTAAAAACCCCCTTTTTCAAATGGCGGATCGGGGGCCCATCACTGTCACCTGCTTTTGGGGGAACCCAATACTCTTATGGGGGGGGAAGCTTCAGTGCCCCTACTCTGGCATCCCTTCTCTCTCTGCCAGGGCTGTGTTTACACTAGACATGCCCGGATGTCGGGGGCACCCAGCTTGGCGGTGGAAATGCTTCGTCTTGCCGTGAAGGAAAAAGGAAACCGAGTGCATGGCCGGTCTGCCCTTTTGGGGAAGTGGTGGGTTGCGAAGCGAGTCCTGGAGCTGGAAAGGGGCCCTGCTGTGCCCGGGCTGCCTGGGCCTGCTGTGAAAAGCTCCGCGGCAGCTGCACCCACCCATCGCCCCGGGCAAGTGCCCCCCCCCCCGACTTGGTGTCTGAATCAGTGCCCGGGTGCAGGGGGTCAGGCCCGGCAGCGGGATTGTCCTGCCCATCTCCCAGCCACCCACTGTGGCCGAGCGGGGTGCTTCCCCGGCTCTGGGCCATTCCCTGGACAGAAAGGCCGACACGGCGCTCCAGGGGGTCCGGCACTGGGCTGTGCAACGCCAGCCCCCACGGCACTCCGGCCCTGCCCCGTGAAGACGGCCCCCGCAGGCCCATCCGCAGGCAAAGGCCCCCGCGTTCATGCCTCCGCTCTGAGGTTCCACCACACCTCGCCCCCGAGAAGGCACTTCTCAGAGCCAGCACACACCAGAGGGCAGCAGGGCCGGCCTGCCTGCGCCGTCCTTTCCCCTGGGTGAGGAGCGTTGGCGAGTGTCGGGAGGGGGGCCTGGCCACGGCCCCCAGAGCCCCAAATCCACCAAGCCCCGATGAGAGGGACTCTCAAAAGACGCACACGGCGAAGGGAGCCCTTGCCCCCCCCCCCAAAGGACACTTAATCCACAGAGGCTTCACGCGCAGGCTTAACTCTAAGCCAGCCTTTCAGCTCTCCGTTCTGCCGCCTGGAGGGGGCTCTGCTTTGCCAATCATGGCCTGGCCCAAGCGGATGCGGGGAAGCTCCTTCTCTGGTGCCATGGGAACTGTGTGGGGTGAGCAGCAGGCTCCAAGGCTGCCGACGAGGGAAGGGGAAGGTGGGCCAGCTCACTTGGCAGGAGCGGCTGCTCGGAGGGGCAGCGGGAATGCCAGTCCTGCCCTGCCTGGAGGGCGAGGCAGGGGGCCCTTCCCTCCCTCGTGCCCCATGGTTCGCGCAGGCATGGCGCTCTCCGGCTTCCCCACAAATGGTCTCTCCAGCACTGAGGCCGGGCCCGGGGCTCCCGGGACGGCACACGACAGCAACACAGAAGGCAGCTCCCGATTTATTACTAAGCCAGGCAAAAGCAATAAACACCCCCTGAACAGCCTCCAGGGCGTCGGACAACACACGCCTCTCCCACCGCACCCGAGTGCTCCTTCGGACACAGTTCCTCCTACAAGCATCCGGCACGATGGCACGTCCAGCTGCGGGCGGGCGGGCCTGCTGCTGCCGGGCCCATCGGGACATCGCCAGGCCTCCCCCCAGCACAGGTCTGCCCCCCACCCACCTCCCGAGTTCAGTGCTGGCACAGATACAAAAATAAACACCAATGACCCAAAACTGGCTTCACAGCTTCTCGGCGGATTCTTCCTGCAGCTCCTCCGTGCCCTTCGGCTCCCGCTGCTCTTGCCCGGCTGGCGGGAACACGCGCTCGGAGGACGGCCACCCCGGAAGACGCCCCGCAGCACCGGCGGCCAGCAGGGCTGGGCACCCTCCTTCCCAGGACTCCCGGCCGAGGGATGGCAGGCTCAGCACCTGGGGAGCATGGGCTCCTTTTGGGGTGCAGCCGCTGCCTGCCTGCAGGGCGGACACGAGGGGCTCCTCTCCGAGGAACAGGCGGCGGCAAGACTTCGGGGGCGCAAGCCAAGAGTCCTCCCCCACCGAACACAAACCCCCCCAAACACGGTGCACCGCAATGCACAGGTTCTCGCAAGCGCCACTGCCACGGCCACCCGTGGGCCAGTCCAGGGAGCCGCCGGGCGACGGGAGCCTCCCCGGCCGGCCTTCCGGGTGTTCGGAGCGTCGCCTTTCACTGGTGGCCACCTGGAGGGGGTCCCCGGGGTCTCCAGCAACGAGCTGCGGGGGGGGGGCGGGGGGGCCAGCTTCTCCGCTTCTACAGAAAAATACAAAATAGACACCGCTTGGCTGGCTCTCGAGAAGGCCTCACACCGCTCGGCTCCTCCGCCACGGCCGCTCTGCAGGGACGGGCCCCTCGCGAAGCCGTCCCAGCCAGGCGCTCCAGCGGGTCCCAGCAAGCGGCCCTGGGCAGAAGGAGCGCGCGCCAACCCCCTCGGCCGGAGCGGCGGCCACCCCCGGCCCCCGCTCATTTGGCACCCCTCGGATGGCACCCCCGGCCCAGGAGGCTCCCCCCCCGCTGGGCGCAGCCCTCCGTGGGGCAGGGGACGCTCCCCCCAGCGGGCGAGGAGTGGGGCCACGGCACGATCGCCCGAGTCCGCAGGAAGCCACGTCACAGATGGGCGGGCGGAGACCCTGGAGGGACACAGAGCGCGTCTGCGGACACCAGTGGGCTCCCACCGCAGTGCGCCCCCACGCATGGTCTTGGCTGCCCCCCCCCCCCCCCCCCTTTGCAAGCCACGCGCTGCTTCCCGGCGGAAGGCGCCCACATGCGCAGCCCCGAGCCTCACCTGTCCCGCAGCCGCCTTCACCTCTTGCGGAGCCTCTTCATGAAGCAGCAGGTGACGGCCACCAGGATGGTCACCCCAGTGAAGAGGGCGCTGGAGACCCCCACCAGGAGCGGGACGAACAGGGTGTCCATGGCTGGCGGGAGGCAAGAGGCGCGTCTCGGTCAGGCCCCGGGAGGACGAGGCCCGCCAGCCACACCTCTCCCGGCCTCAGCACAGCCATGGAGGGCCAGGCCAGTCCTTCCCCGCCCAGCCTGTGCCCCACTGGTGCCCCCCACTTCCTTTCCCAGGGAAGAAAAGGGGGAGCTGCGGCCCTCGGAGGGGAGCCCCCAACAGCTCAGGCCGGGCGGGCAGCCCCCGACCCTGCGCCCCATCCCCACCAGCCCGCCAGGGGTCCCGCTGAGGCCCTGCTCCTTCCCAGCCCCCGCCGGCTCTGTCCCACCCCCACCCACTGCAAAAGCCTGAAATGTGGCCCTGCCGAAATCAGTGGCGGGACAGGCCTGAAGCCGCGAAAGCGCCCCCCTGCTTTGCCTTCAGCCCCCCGCCGCAAGGACACCCCCCGCTGGCCGAAGGAGGCCGGTGGCCCCACACGCTCCGGGGCCGCTGCCAGGTCCGCCCCCCGGCCTCTGTGAGAAGTGAGGACCCAGAGCGGCCGGCACAGGAGCTGGAGGAAGATGCCCCCCGCCCCCCCGGGCGCCCTGACTCACGCAGCGCGTATGGGTGCATGGAGACGGCGTTGGACTCGACGGAGCCGGCGTTGTACCAGCTGAGGTCGGGGGAGCGCACCCAGGCGGTCACGGCGCAGTGGTACCTCCCGCCGTCCGAGGGCTGCACCCCGTGCAGGCGCAGCCGGTGGCTCCGGGGCCCGACCTTGTCCACGCTCACGGCGCCCCCCGAGGCCCGGGGCCCGAAGGCGGCCACTCCCTCACGGCTGACGGCGGCCAGCATGGCGCCCTGCGGCTCGGCCTCCACCCACCAACTGAGCGCGAGGCGGACGGCCTCGGCCGAGGCCACGGAGACGTTGCAGCGCAGCTCCGCCGTGTCGCCGCGGTAGATGGTGGGCGAGGGCAGCCAGGCGACGGCTCCGAGGACCACGGCTGCGAGGGGCAGGAGAGACGGCGCTTACGGCGTGTGGCTGGGTCTGAGCCCGCCACGGCCCCCTCCCACGGCTCAAGCTCTGGGTTTCCTGGCCCACCAAACCACCCGGGAATGGGCGCCGTGGGTTGTCGGCTAAACCAGGAGCCACACGGAAGCAGTCAGCGGGCAGGAGACCGCGTGGTCCCTTCCACGTGGCTCGAGCCAGCACGGGCTGTGGCTCCACCCTCCGCCCCCACCCCAGGGAGACTCCGAATTAGAACCGCGGGGGGGCCGTACCTTTCGACGCCACGTCCACCGCCACCGCCTCGGACCGGGCGGTGGCCACGCGACGGAGCTCCGTGCTGGGGGCGCGCACGAGCACCTGCACCACGCACCGGTAGGCGCCCGCGTCCCCCGGCTGGGCCGCCTCGATCCGGAGCAGGTAGCAGCCCGGGGGGGAGGGCAGCTTCCGCAGGGACACGTGCCTCCTTCCCACGCGGGGGTTGGCGTAGCTCTCGCCCAGGACCACCGTGCCGTCCACCTCCAGCTGCGCCACGAGGCGCCCCTCCGGACCGGCTCCGCCGCTCAGCTCCCAGCCCACCGAAAGGGCCGCAGGAGCGGAAAGGAGGGCCGCCGGCCCGGACACGTTGCAGAGCAGCTCCAGGGCCTCCCCCGAGATGGCGCGGACACTGGCGGGGCTGGCGGACACGGCCAGCTGGCCGGCTGGAAGCAGAGCACAGGGGCCGTCAGCGCCCGCGAGCGGCTTGCGGGGGGCGAGGGCGGGGGCCGCAGGCCGGCAGTCCCAGCTCACGGCCAGCTCGAGCAGAGGGAGATAGATGGCTACTGGCTGCGGGCACGGGTGAGGCCGTGTGCCCGAGGCAAAAATCCCATTTCCGCCCCAAGCAACTGGCAGCTCCTTGGTGCCTGGGATAAGGTGAAGCTGGAGCTGGGCCTCCTTCGGAGAGGGCTCCGGAGACGGACAAGAGCGCCCGCTGGTGGCCGGGGAGCAGTGCCTCTGGGGATGTGCCACGGGGGCGTCTTCCACTGCCCCATGCTGGGGACAGGTCCACTGGGGGCAGACGGAGGAACCAGGGCAAGGGGGAGGGAGGGCTTTGCCTGTGACTGGGGGGTGATGTGGCCCTCGCTGCCCCGGCAGCACAGCCCGTGGCGAGGGATGATGGGAGGGGCGCTGCCTCGCCTGGCTCACGGGGGCAGTGGCAACCCTGGGAGAATGCGAGAGGAGTCGCGATCATGGCGCATGTTCCCGCGTCCTCCCCCCACAAGAGGCATGAACAGCTCCCTCTTGCTCCGGTCTGCACCAGAAGCGCCCTGCGAGGACCGGCTCCAAGGGCGCTCCCGAGAACCAGCTCTCCTGGGTCCTGCTCCTGCACACCGACTTTCCAGGCGGGGGCCGCAGGGCTGTTTGTGGGGGCCGCTCCCCCACGGCCCAGGAAAGGTCCAGGGCCCCCTCGGCAGGGGAGGCTGCCGGGTCGGGTGGTGGTCCTCCTTCCCCCCGCCCCAGCGAGGCTCACCGAGGGGCTGGACGGTGACCTGGGCCAGCGCCAGCCGCTTCTCCACGATCTTCTGCCAGCTGCCGTCGGGGTCCTGGATCCACTCGGCCGCGGTGCAGTGGTACCTCCCGGAGTCCTCGGGCTGCAGCCAGCCCAGAGACATCCGGTACTCCTGGCGGCCCAGCTTGGCCAGCGACAGCTCCTGGGCGCCGTGCCGCTCCGAGAAACGCCCCCCGGCCTCCACGGCGAAATCTCGCCGCACGCCGATCACCTCCTGCGGCTCGCTGGCACCGGGGGGCGCGGAGACACTGAAGGACACCGCGAGGTGGGTGTGCTGCTGGGTCTCGCTCGCCGCCAGGCACGCCAGCCGGAGCTCCCGGCCCTCCAGGACCGTCACCTGCGCAAGGGCAGCGCCCGTGGCCGCCCGGCTCCGGGGAGGGGGCTCCAGGGGTGGGGGGGCGGCGGCCACCGACAGCCTGTTGGGCAGCACTGTTGAAAGATGGGGGTGCTCAGTTCAGCGGAGCTGCAGGGCCAGGAGGCAGCGCGGCGCAACCGGCACCGTGCCGGGGAAGCTCCCCGGTGGCTCGGCCACCCACCGAGCCAGGCCCAAGGCGCCCCAGGACGACCGCGTGGCTTGCTCCCCCCGGCTCCCTCACTCCTCCCGCTGCCCACAGCCACCCTCCGTGGCCTGTCTCCCCCTCAGCTGCCGCCCTTTCGTGGCCTCCATGGACAGAGGGCTGGAGCCCCGAAAAGTGTGGCCGGGATCGTTTCCTTCGCCTTTCTGGCTCCGTCCTGAACGTGGAGCAACGGCCGCAGTCGCTGCCGTTCTCTTCCGGGCCTGCCCTTACAGTGCGACATCCTTCCTTTCAGGTCAAGCGCCCAGCCTGCTCTGGCCCTCAAGGCAGCAGAAAGCGGAGCAGACGGCATCCCCAGAAGGGACAAGGAGAGGGTGCCGGCCTGCCAGTTTGGGACGGCTGCCAGGGCCCCATGGCCAAGAGGCCCCCGGACCGGCGAGTGGGGGAGGGGCAACCTTGGCGCCAAAACAGGGCAGCCTCTTCCGCTTACCAAGGGACCCTCTCAAGCTGAAGAGCTCGCCTACCTCTCCTCAGTCTCTGCCACCCTTAACACCCCCCGCTCACCCGCTGCTCCAGGTAACGAGGCCTCGCCCCCTTTTGTGGCTCCATTTCGGACAATTCTGGGAAAATGGCCGGGAAGTAAATGCCAAAGAACTCTGCACGCGCACCAGCCGCTCGGCGAGCGACTCGCCAGGAGCGCCGACGCGCCTTTGCCTGCCGCTCTTCCCAAGCCGATCTCTGCGGGGAAACTGCTCTCCAGAACTTTGCTCGCCACCCGGAGATTTTTCTGGCCTGCCTGCTGCTCAAGGGCCACCGCCGCTCCCTGGGGTGTGTGCTGCAAAGGCCTGCGATTTCATCGAGTTACCAGACTGTGCTTTTGGCCCAGAAAATGGGAATTAAATCCCCCCAGACGGCGGGCGTACCTCTCAGCTCCACCTTGCCGCTGTAGGCGCCATGGTATTTGGAATCCGTGCTCGGCGTGTAGCACTCGTAGGTGCCCATGTCCGCCACGCGGACCTCCTTGATGCGCAGCTCCACGGCGTCCCCCCGGAGCCGACGGACAGACACCTCTCCCGCCTGCACCCGGGCCCCAAAGATGGCGTAGGGGAACGTGGGGTCCTTGGTGCTGATCACGCCGATGGAGATGTCCGGAGCCGACGGGCGGTACAGGAACCACTCAAAATGCTGCAGGGTGGGTCCCTCGTACTCCGTGACGTTGCAGGGGATGGAAACGACCGTGCCCTCCACGCGGTACAGGGGCCCCGCAGGGAGGTGGACCTCTCGGGCCTCTGCCAGGGCTGTGCGGAAAACAGCAGGAGGTTAGCAACGCCAGCGGCAGACGCTTGGCGGACGACAACCAGCACGGGGACTGGGCTTCTGGCAGCTCAACCCTAATTCTAATTATTTTAATGACTGAGTACAGCGCCGGAAAACAGGTCATTAATGCAGCAACGGAGCTACCAAGGGCATATCCGTTAATTCCGCCGAAGCGGCACAGCCCATCTGTGATCCACCCTTGACGGGAAATGTACTCCGGGTTTCCCACCAAGGCTTCATTCCCACGAGAAATAACTTGGTGGCAACCAAGTGCACAGGCACGTCCCGATCCTTGCACATCAGCAAGCCAGAGAGATGCCCTTGGAGCACAGAGCTGCACTTATTTATTTATTTAGAACATTTGCAGGCCGTCCATCCCTGTCGTCTCTGGACGGCCTACAACATTATTTCAAATCCTAAATAAAATAAATTAACCATTCCACAACTGGGCATAAAACTAACCTGTTTAAAATAAATTAAATAAATCTAATACAATTAAAATTACTTTATGTTAAAATACTGGCCAAATAAAAAGGTCCTGTAATGACAGGCGGACCTCTCTAGGGAGCGCATTCCGAGAGCGCTGCATGCCGTGCCTGGTGCTCCGTGTCCCCAGAGAAGGACAAGGGGCTGGTGCACACAGAGCTCCACGTGGTGGCCTCTCGCTCTGTCTGAACCCATCCCGCAAACAAGCCACGGCTTGTATACCAGCTAGAAAATGCCGCCCCTCCCCCCAAAGCCGCACCGGCATCTTCACCGTCTCAAGTGTAATTTGGTGGGCTTTGATTTAAGCGACGCACGAAGCAGCTTTTAAAAAGCTCCCAGAAATGATCCACCTGCAGCTTCGCCACCATTCTTAGCAGATTAAGCCCATCCAGTTTTATTGCTGTTTCCTCCATGATTTAAACGTTCCACACATTTTTGCGTTTTGGCATTTCTGTGGTTGCGTTTATCGTTTCGGCCATTTCATCTGCGGGTTTAATATTGTAATAGCGTGTTGATACGCTCAGGGTTGCTTTTTCGGTGCCGTTTGGAGCCAGGACTGGAAGCTGCGGGAAGGGCGTTCGCCACCTTCAGCGGCACACTGGACCGACACGGAAGCGGCACAGTCCGGACCCCCGCCGGGGCTCTCCCCCGGCCCTCACCGTCACAGCCCCCGGCCGAACAGGCTGCATCCCGCCAAAGCGTCCGCCTGGCCGCACACGCTCGTGGCCACGGTGGCACATGCTCTTCAAGCGGGCACGACGCTGCACGGCTCTGAAAAACGTGCCGGGTCGAGGCACCTGCACGGCCCTGTCCCCACCAGATGCTCGGCAGAGAGCAAAGTCCCTCCTGCGAGCAACACAATAAATACGGAAGCCACTTCATTCCATAACAGACTCATTAAGCCAAATGAGTCCACCCGGGAAACCGGATGGGGGAACAGCGGGCGTGCCTGGCTGGCCCCTCCCTCGCGTCCACGCCACCCCCCCGGCAACCTGGGCGGGCTGGAGAGCCTCTTTGCCGAACACCTCGGCGCAGGGACGCTTCTGTTGCACCCGCTGGAGCCCAGAGACGGGGGTGCAAGTGGGATCCATCCAGCCCTGGCTGCTGAGACCCCTGCCTCTGCTGGCTGCCCAGGCTCGGCGGGAGGGACCTGGGTCGGCCGTTCCGCTGAGCTCCCCGGGGAAGAGCAGCACCGCGCTGGCTGCACCCCGGCCACCCGGAGAACAGACGGGCTTCTTCTGCACCAAAGCTCAGCCGCGTGCTCTTGGAAGGACTAGCCCGGCTCAGGCCCAGAGGGGGGACAGAGGAGGCTGCGGCTGCACCTCTTCCCGGCGCGAACCGATTCCCGGCCCCTGTTTGGCGCCATTTCAACTTCCAGGGACCTGCGGAACGGAGGTCTCACGCCCCAGGCCTGCTGGTCCCGTGTGGGAGCTTTCCCACAGGGGAGGAAGAGGAACTACTGCGGTGCCGTGGGGCACCCTTGGCCACGACCGCCCAGGACTGCAGGAGGCTGGCCGGGACCCTCCGCAGAAGCACATTCCCGAGACCGGGAGGCTCCTGCCCATCCCAGAGGGCATCCCCAGCCTGGATCCTCAGCCACGAACGCCAGGCTGGTGCTGCACGTCCAGAGCCCCTACAAGCTGCCCCGAGAAAGGCTGCCTGCTCCATCACAGTCCGCCTCTGCCAGGCTGGGCTCGCCCCCCACTTCTAACACCCCCCAAGCTGCTCCTCACACGTTCCTACGATCAGGCAGGGATTCACAAAAGCCGGAAACACCTCGCAGGAATTCCTCGACTCCAGCATGCGGAAATGGCAGCACCCGTCCCGCTGGCCGTGCCCTGGTTTTCTGCACCTCCTTTGCACAGCGCCCCCTGGCGGGGGGCAGGAGCAATGACGGCGTGGGCAGAAGGCGAGGCGCTCGGCTGAGAGGGTCCCCAAGACACCCCGAAGGCCGGGGGAGAAGCAGCACCCGCATTTCCCCAAAAAGACCCAGGAAGCGCCCCGGCGAATTTCCCAGGCTGGAGCCATGTGGGCCGCCAACGAGGAGGCCCCGCTGGGCGAGCGAGCCCAGCCTTGCCTGCCCCTCCTGTCGCTCTTGGTGGCCGCAGCAGTGGGAGGGCTTCCACCGTGCCGAAGCAGGATGCGGCCCAAAGGGGCCCCTGCTCCCATCCGACCAGCCTCGTCCTGGCTGCTTCTGGGCACGGCACCTGCGAACACCTCGGGGACCCAGGGATGATGGCCAACGCTGCATGCTTAACGCACCAAATGCGCAGCAAAGCACACCTTCGGGCGGAGAGGCTTGCGCCCGCGCGCCCCTTCCCCTCACCCCAAGCTCCGGCCTGCGCCTGCCCTGTGCGGGGGGCCCGCGGGCGCTCCTCGGGGACCCAGGCAGCCCCACAAGCCGCCCCCCCCCCCCCAGCTGCAGCCGGCGCGAGTCGGCGAGCGGGCAGCGCCCCGGCGCGGTCCAAAGGCCGCCTGCGCCCTGCGCGGCCGAGCGCCGCCTGGTCCGAGCGCCAGGGTCGGAGAGGCCCCGCCGCCGCCGCTGCCGCCCGCCCTCCTCCGCAGGCAAGATGGGCGACCGTCGGATGGATGGGCGGGCGGACCGACATCCAGACGCGAGGCAGCCGCTCCCGCCGCAGCCCCGCCGCCTCCCGCCCCGGCCCAAGCCCCCCCGCCCGCCCGCGCCCGGCACGCACCGGCCAGCAGCAGCAGCAGCAGCAGCGGCGGCGGCAGCCGCGGGAGGAGCAAGCGGCGCCCGGGAGCATCCATGGCCGGCGGCGGGGGGCGCGGGCGAGGCTGCCGCGCGGTGCGCCCGGCCCGAAGAGGTGCGGGGCGCCGCCCGCTCGCCGCCCGCGGCCCCTCCCGGCTGCCTGGGCCCGCCCCCCTCCCTCCCTCTCTCTCTCTCTCTCCGCCTCCGCCTCGGCGGCCAGATGCGCCCGCGAGCAGCAGGAGGCCCGGCCCGCAGGGCTCGCGCCAGGCTGGAGGGAACTCTGTGCATGCCCAGAGCACCACCCCGCCCCGCGCGCTTCCTCCCGCCAACTGGCCCGGGAGCCTCTGCACTGAAGGCGACCCGGGGGCGGAAAAACGGGGAAGGCCAAGCAGGGAAGGCGGCAGGACATCGGCCTGGAAGTCGCACAGAAACAGGCCCCCCTCGCGAGAATTGTTAAAACGCTCCGTTGCAGCCAGCACATGCCTATTCTATAGACTATCCATTCATTTACTTATTTAAAATATTCCTACCCCATCCGACACAAAAGTCATCCCAGGACAGCTTACAATACTAAAAACAGTAAATAAACAACATACATGATAACCAGCAACAACAGAATGTGACTGGTTCTTATATTTACACCCTTGACAGGTCTCACACACCGAAGGGCTGAGCCTGGAATTCGAAATCGCAGGACGGCACCTGGGCGCACATTACTCGGTAAAGCTGGGCTTTGGGGTCACGGAAGGAACCCAAATTATTCTTGGCATTCATGATTACAAGCACGAGGATGGGTGCGAGGTCTTGGACGGGCACCACCGGAAGAATGAACGGAGGAGGTGCCAGGGCAGAGCAGAGAGGACAGCAAAGCTTCCCAGTCCCCAGCTGCGGATGTGGGACAGCAGAGCTTTCTCAAGTCCCTGGCTGGAGGAGCTGCCTTTGTGAACTGAGAGCATTTCCCAGCCTTGCAGGGGAGTCCGCATGGCCACAAGAAGAGGCGTGTGGGCTGCCTCGCTCTCTGGATCCTGCCTTCCTTATTGATTCAATCAACGTCCTTATGAAAGTCAGAGAACAAAGGGCAAAAGCAAGGCTGCGGCTGAACAAAAGCAAAAGCAAACACGGCTACGGAAGAATTACGCAACTTTCATGACAGCAATGAAGAAATTGAAACTGGGAGATTTGACCGGGCTTGGTTCCATCAAGAGTTCGAAGAGAGACTTCGCCAAGAAAGCAGAAGGCTGAAAACTGGACGGGCAGTGAAAGAGGCGGAAGAGTAAGGAGCTGGAAGGGGTAAGGGAGAGGATGAGGATGAGGAAGGCGAAGATGATCCACAGTGTCACATTCCTGATCGCTGGGAAGGCTGGGCAGGGAAGAAATAGGTGCGTTCCAAGCTCGGTGCTCCGGGAGAGCTTTGCAAACAGGCAGGTTCAACAGAACGACAAACAAGCGGCTCGACCACATCCAGCCAGGACTCTCCCCGGAAAGGAAGGGAAGCTGCCCTACTTGAGCCGTGGCATGAGAAGGCAATGCCCGCCGGGCAGGGAAGACCATCATGCAGGAGGAAGCTGAAGGCAGAAGAAGGGGAAGCCCAGCTGGGAGACAGGTCAAGCCCCATTGGCAGCTGCAGCCTTGGGACGCCTTGCGGGCTCTCCTTCCCGGAGTCGCCGAGGGTGAGGGATTACCCGACAGTGCAGAACAGCAGCAACTAATTCCGCCAGCCGTCCCTCCTCTTCGAGGCAGCTGCTTCGCGTCTTCCCAGGTGCCCCTGAATGGAAACGGGCTGCGTGGACTGGATCCGGCCCCTGACCTTTGCACCAGGACCGTCTCCGCACCCTTGTTTAAATTATCTGGAAATTAGCAGGCGGTGGAAGTGCGCTGTCTGCACACGACTGGCAGCTCCCAGACGGGAAGGAGAAGTGCTCAGCTCCCAAATGCCACCGGCCGAGCCCCCTGCGGGCTGCTCACAGCTGAACAGGCTGAGCACGGATGCCGTCCTGGAGCGGGCGTGTATTGGGACAGCCGGCCTGCTTTTGTGCAAGCTCAGGTGTGATGGCTACGCATCTCTATCTTGTACATCTTTGTCTGGAGACATCCTATGAAACATGAACCAATTCAGAGAGAAGGGCCAACCTAACCGTGCGTGCATAAAAGCCGGAGTTTGTCCAGCAGAGAGGCAGAGGACTCATCCACTCAGAGGCCAAAAGGGCCCGCTGCCCGTTCAGCGCCAGCCCGAGCTGCTCCGGCATCCAAAATGGCTCCCGGTGCAGCAGCCAGGCCTGCCTGCGGCCCACATGCGCTCCGCTGGCTCAGGCAGAGGCGCGATGACCACGGCGGCCATGCGATGGCACTGTCAGCCCAGCCACCAAGCTGCTGCCCGCCGGGATGCGGGGCTCGGCGGCCCTGGCGCAAGCGAGGCACCTTCCCTCATGGGGCTTCGTGCCATGCCAGCCGAGGCCCATCTTCTCTTCTCTCGAAAACACACGCCTATATTTTATTCATTGCCGTTCTTAAACCTTTATAATCTGCCTTTCACCCCCCTCCCCCAAATGCCAGCCAACCACAGGGCAAGATGCTCTTGGAAACACGTCTGCTTGTTTGGCTCGGTAGTCAAAGGGCTACTTCAACAGCTGCCCCTGTTTGGAGGCAATTATAGTGCTCTTGTACTGAATTAGTTTGTTTTAAAATGTTTTAAGTTTGTTTCTAATCCCTTCCCTTAGACTCTTCTGTGAATGATAGGTGGTTTACACATTTCAATAATAACAATATACTTGGAAGTTCAAAAAGACAACAATCCAAGACCAGAATCCAGTATCAAGGGAAGCAGCAGCAGCAAAAACAATATAATGCATCTACTAAAGGCTATCCAGAACTGGTAGCTCATCAAAGCATTTTTTAATCGCAGAACTGCAGGAGGCAACCATAAGGTGGGGGCCTCCACTCCGGAGTCTTCACTGCAATAACCCCCCAGCCAAGCAACATTAAAGGCGGGCCCCCCAATGCTGATTGCAAAATGAAAGCGATTCCTGAGGCACCCATCAAACTGACTCCAAACTGCAAGAGCGCGAGCGCCATTCCCCCACCATGGAAGATGAAGTTGACACAGCTGCACCCAGACGGAAACATGTCAGCGGGAAGCGGCCTCTTTCCCAAGCCCCAGGACACTGGGGAGCGGCGACGGAGCCCTCCACTCCCCCTCCGGCACGGCACGCCACGCCACGCACCGGGGCTGGGCTCGCCCAGAGGCCCCGCATTCTTGGAGCCCACACGGGGCAGGAATGGCATGCAGGGCCACGGCGAGGCTGCGGCGTGTGGGCCCCGGAAGCTCCCGCTTCCCCAGCAGCCACGGCGGCTCCCCCCTCCTCCAGACGGCCCCTGCCCAGGCCGCTCTGTCCCGGGACAAGGAAAGGGCCGCGGGCCGCAAGGAGGCCCTCTGCAGGTGCGCTGGCACTGCTCGGCCAGGGACTGGCCTCGAGACACCGGAGACGGAGGGCGCGGCCAAACTCCCGCACAACACACACGAGCCAGAGCAGCTGGAATCCCCGCCAGGCCCCCCTGGGGAGATGCAGCGGAGGCCTTGGCAGAGCCGCCTGCAGCCCAAGGCTGGTGCCCCCTAGGTGCCCCTTCGGCACCTCCCCCAAAGAAAGGAGAGCCCCAGTCCCACAGCAGCCCCGTCCGCCCCCGGCCAGAGGCAGGGGGCCGGCATCTCCAGCAACCGGCCGGCACAGAATGTTCCTTCGGTCGTGTTAGCTGCTGGGTGTTCATCGTGTTCTCCTCCCAGGAGGGGCAGGAAGAGCAAAGCCCCCGTTTCATCTGCACAAGGACCACGCAAGAGGGAGAGTGCGGCGTGTCCAGCCCGTGTCTCCCTTGCCCAGGCAGCTCCTGGAATCGCCCTGCAAGCAGAGCCCCACAAGCCAGCAGAGCAAGCAAGCATTTATCCTCGGGAGAAGAGAGCGAGCGAGGAGCTCCCCCCCCCGGCCCCCGGACGGCCTGCTCTTTCCTCCCCCAGCTCCTTGCGCTGCAGAGGCAGTGACCTTTCGCTCTGGAGTGCTTCCCAGCTCAGGGGAGGCGTGTGAGTCTGTCCGGAGGGCCAGCGTGGGCGCTGGAGGCCCCCTGCCTATCTGAGGTGCTCTTTTTCTCTCTGACTTTCCGACGTGCCGTGCGTGACCCGCTCACGGCCTGCGGCACTGCCCCAGCTGGGATAGCACGACGGCGCGGTGCCCACGGAGGGGCTCCCCAAGGCTCTGGGGCATGTGACCTGCCAAGACCGCGTGCGGGCGGCTCTCCCCAAGCACGCAGGGCCCAGGAGCGCTGTGGTGGGTTTGGCCACCGGGCCGTGGCCTCCTTGATTTCCACGGCTGGGGAAAAGGGGGGCAGCCTGGAAGAGCAAGCCGCCTTCCCCCAGCCGGCCCCCTTGGCTGCAGCCCCCCCCCCCGACCGCTCCAGAGCAGCACAGCAAGGAAACGGCACAGCGGCTAGCGCTGGGGCAACCATCCAAGCTGTCCCATCTTCCCCAGCATCCCCATGCCGGCTGGGGCCGATGGGAGCTGCAGCCCAACTGGGGGGGGGCAGAGGGCTGGGGAGCACTGGTGTCGTTCCAAAGGACTCCAGGAGGACCAAGACGGATCGATCCTGCGGCTGTCGAGGCAGCGATCCTGGCTCCATCCTCTGGCCAGTGGGGACTTCCTGAGGCTCAAGCAGGCACTGTGTTTTAGGAGCTCATTCTTGTGAGATTAGCTTGCGGGGGGAGCACGGTCCTCTCTCCTGCTTCACCGCCCCCCAAGTCTTTCCCACACTGCCTTGCAAGTTGGCCCTGAATGAGGTTCCCACTCCGTGGAGTCTGGGACAGCTAAGAAAAGGGGGCATCCTTTGATTCTGCCCACAGCTCAAGGGTTTTGGCAAGAGGCTTTGCTTCTATTTCTCTTATTTTTCCTGGCACACTCAGAACCACTGCCAGAAATTAGGTCCCCACCCCCCCGTTCTGTTTTTTTCCATTCACTCTCAACAAACTTCCCATGAATAGCAATTGCAGCGAGTCCCCCCCCCCCCCGCCTGTCCCAGCCATGGGACAGCCGAAGACTCCTAATGCGGGTCCCTCTCCAGAGCAGGAGAGAAGGGCCTGCATCCCGCTTTCCTTCCTGGCGCACCCCAAAAGGCAGCTGGAATGATGCCCGTGCTTTCTCGTCCTCCTTCGCAAGGCTGAACAGCTCCTCCCCGGGCCCTGGAGCAGCCACGGCCCTGGCCCCGTGGCAGGAGGGCGGCCACTGCGGCTGGCCCATCCCGGCGCCTGGGCCTTGAGAAGCCCTCTGTGGCCGGGCTGCCCAGCTGCTCACGCAAACACGCAGGCACCCATTTCCGGCTTCACCCTCGACCGCATGGCCCGGCGACCCGAAAACCTCCCGCTCCGACGGGGCCCGTGGGAGGATGGCACAGCTCTTTTCTTGGGGCCCGGATGGGGCTGGGCCGGCTCCCCTTGGCTCAGTCGCAGCCCGGCATGCAAAGCGGCGGGAGGACGCCGGGTCACATCTGCACCGCTCGACCCGCCAGCTGTGCCGTGCCCCCTGCCCCAGGCGCCCGCGCTTTGTTCTCGGCAGGGCGATCGGACGGCATCCGCCCGCCGTCCCGTCCTTACCTCGGATTCCTGCCTCTAATTGGGCCCACACTGGGCTCCTGGCAGCCGGGCCGAGGCGGAAGCAGGCCTGTGTCCGCCTTACGCAACAAGCCTGCGCTTTCTGCTGACACGGCAGATCCTCCCAAGCCGCATTCCACAAACAAAGAGGTTCAAGTAACCGCTGCGAGGAGCAAAGCCGGAGCCCTGGACTCCAGCTGATGTCCGGCACTGGCAGTCCGGTCAGCAGGTTCTTCCGCGACCGTCACGATCTGGCCAAGCTTGCAGCACTCTGCTGGGAAGGCAGGGCCAGTGGCGGCGGCGGGGGGGGGGGGGGGGGGGCTCCAAGGCCGGCATTGCCCAGAGGCTGCCTGGAGGGGCCCGGCCCTGCCTTCCTCCCCGGCCTAGCTAGGAGCAGCCGTGCGATGCAGATGCCGCTCCGGGGCCCACCGGCCCTCGCCTCGGGCCCCAGCGCTGCTGCTGGTGTCTCAAGGCCTGGGCCCCATCCTCGCAACGCCCGGGGCTGCGGGGGGCCAGCCGGGATGGCACTAAGAGGGCCAGGCTCAGCTCTGGGAGGAGGCAGGCTCTGGTCGTCATGCCTGCTCCTCGCCCTGGCTCTTGGCATACCCCACCGCTTCTCAGCGCCTCCCCAGGACACCACTTCCAGGGCCCCAGCGCTGGTGTGGACGCACGGCGGGTCTCAGGGGCCTCTCCGAGCAGGCGCCGCAAGCCTTGAAGCGCTCTGCCGAGCGGCCCCTGCTGGCCACGTCCGGGGCCGTGCCCGGTGGGTGGGTGTCGCGGGCCATTTTTCGGCACGTTCCCCCTACACCACCCCACCCCGATGCACAAACAGTAGCCTGAGCGAAGGATGAGCCCGTTTACAAGGGGATGATGCCACTTCACTGCAGCCTAAATATTTGCCCGAGTAACGCAGTATGAGTGTCCGTCACCCGGCAGCCTTTCCACAGAGGGGAGAAAAAGCAGCACGGAAGGGGGAGTCGAGTTGCGAAGTGCTTAGCTTCCCAGGCTGTTTGGGTGATGCTTTGTTTTGGCAAACAAAGAGAATGCACACAAATTGTTACAAGACCAATTTCTCAACAACCGATGGGCCCTCTTCCCTGAACGGGAATGTTCAGCTATATCCAAAAGGCTTCTGGTGAAGTGCACATTTCTCAGAGTGCCACGGCCCTTTTCAAAGCGCTCTCCCTCCGGCTGAGCAGGTAGCAGCGTTTCTCCCTTTCTTTGCCCTCCAAGAACAAATTAAAAGGAGATTTGGAAAGAAATGACCCAGCTTTGCCTTATATGCTGCCGCTAATTCCTGCTACCAGCGGGGGAGGCTGGCTTTCATTAAAATCAGGAACACTTTGCTTCTGAGAAGGTGTGCCCCTCGCCTCGCCTCGCCTCGCCTCGCCTCGCCTCGCCTCGCCTCGCCTCGCGCCCTTCCCTTCCCTTCCCTTCCCATGAGAAGCGGCACTGCCAAACATCAGGTCTTCCAGGAGAGTCCTTGCTGCCCCATTTGTTTCCAGGTGCCCCACTGGGCTGGGGCCAGGACTGCCGAGGGGCTGACCTTCCCCGCGGTGCTCGCGGTCCAGCCACAGGTTGCTCGTGGGGAGCCCCCTCCCCCCCCGCAGCTATGTGGGAGAGCCTGCAGGCATTTTGGCCGGCCACACGCAGCCTGTACCTGGCCAGCAGGGGCCGTGGGGAGCCCTTTCCCGTTTCTTCTTTTGAAGGGCCTCTCCAGGGCCCTTTCCGAAAAAAGGGGAGGCACAAGGAGGATGCCGAAGGCGCCCTGCTGCCCACTGGCGGGCAAGAAGTGGGCTTTCTCCCCACTTCCGGCTCATTCCTGGGTCCAGGCCTGGCCAGAGCCGCTGCGACGCTCCGGCTGCCTTTCCCGGCCCGGGTGGTGGAGAGTTCGACCGAGGGAGATGCAGAGGCAAGAACCAGCAGGAGGCGGTGCAAGGAAGAGCGGCGGAGAGCCGAGGGCTTCGCCGCAGGGCCGGGCATGACGGGCCGGGTGATGCGATCGCTCAGATATGGAAGCAATTTAGATAACCAGCAACTGCTTCAGAACCTCGGAGCTAATCTTCTGCTAAGCCAAGATAAAAATACAAACCAGAGCAAAGCAAAGGGAACGGCGCCCACGACGTGGCGACTGCCACGCTGCTCTGCGATTCATTGGCCGACGATGTGGCGAGGGCTGCAGGGCTGGGCGACCCTGAGGGGGCTTGCACGCATTCGGGGAGGGGAGGCGCCCTCCCCGCTGCAGGGCAGCCCAGAAGCACGTGGACACGGGTTCGGGGAGCGCCTGCAGCGCCTCTGCCCCGGCTCCTGGACTGGGCCTGGCAAGGGGATGGAGGGCCGGGCTCTGCGTGTGGCAGGGATGGGCGAGGGCCCAGGCGCGCCAGGGGCAACGGGCCCCAGTGCCGTGCCTGGAGATTCTCCGGCCTCGGGCAAGAGGGGGCCCAGCTGGCCGACCCGTTTCTGCAGCGGCTCTTGGCCTCGCTGGCACGGCCGCCTCAGTGGCGGACGGGGGGATGCCCGGGCCGGGAGCGGATATGCGTCCGCGCAAGCCAGAACCAAGACAGGCTCTCAAGCGGCTGGCCCAAGATTTATGGCCCCGAAGTGGCAAAGAATGCGGGGCTGGCAAGACGCCTCCCTCCGCAGGAAGGCTCCTTGCGAGATGAAAGCCGCTCCTCGGCGGGGCGGGAAGGGGCCTTCATGCCACGGCTGGAGACCCGGCCCGATGGATGGAGCCCTCCTCTACCAGGCTGCCGGGGCGGGGAGGGGGCTCCTCGGTGGGCCGGGCCCCCTCGCGAGGAGACCATGGGGAGGGGGTGCACTGCAGAGGGGAGAGGTTGGGAGCACTGGGAGGGGAGGGCGGGGGGCGGAGCCTCCTCCAACTCAAGATCCAGTTTCAACAAGTGCTTCTGTCCAGAGAAGGAGCTGAGCGGAGTGAACAAGCAATCTATTTAAAGCAGGCAAGCACGGGTCGCTCAGCCGTTTGATGTGTATTTTGTGCATGTGCATCGTGCACAACTAGACTCGCTGCCGTGCTCCTGGCCCCCGGCCCCCCTTCTCCTTCGCCGGATCCTCTCTCTCTCCATCTCCGGCTCCAGCGAGGATGGGGAAAGGGGTAAGTACTGGAGTCTGAGTCATGCCATCGCTGAAACGGAGCCTTGCGGTGGAGGTGGAGGGCTCGGAAAAGTCCCAGGAAACGGGAAGAACTCCGGGCCGGGCGGGTGTTTACAGGAGGCTGCCGCGGGCCCTGGAAATGCCACGGAACGTGGACGCGTGGCTGGTGGCGTGTTTCAGGGTGCATGGAAGAGGAAGCCCTGGAAGGGGCGGAAGAGATGCGAAGAGCTTGTTTGTGCAGCTGGGTGTCCTGCGGGGTCGCGCCTGCGGAGCCGTCTCTTCCTTCCCTGCGAGACCGAGCGTCTTTGCTCCCAAGCCACGATGTCCGTGGAGAGCCCCCGGGCCCGCCGGAGGCCGGCATCCAAAGGGCGCTGCGGGGTTCATGGCCGCACCCCTGGGACGTGGCCAGGGTGGATGCATCTGGAGCGGGCCGTGGGACCCAGATAAACACAGGTCCTGCACAGCGCAAGCTGCTCTCAGGCCCTCGGGACGCGATGTGTGGTGGAGCCGGACTGCCCTTGCAATGCGGGAGCCCGCCGGCCCGGCCAGCGGACCTCCGAACCTCCCCGCACAGCACTCCCAAGCCCAGGGACGCGCTGGCCACCCGGGGGAGGACATGCCGCTGTCACCCCCACTTCATTCGGGGGATGTGCTGGGGCGAGATCACACCCCCTTCCCCCGCATCTTCCCCATCCCTTCCCTCGCCTCAGCACATCCGTTCAGGAAAACGGCAAAGTTCTGCCCCACTCCTGAAGCCTCGCTGCGACTGTGGACGGGGCTCTGCACCCAGAACCTGTGGCCTTGGCCACTGCGTCAGGCCGCCGGCAACCGCGTCACAGCAGCAGCTGGCGAAGGCCGCCGTCTCAGCTGTCAGAGAGGCGCTTGGGTGCCCCGCGCGAGTCGCCGAGCGGACAGGCCGAGTGTGGCTGCGTCCCGGGACCTGCTGAACTGCTCTCACATTTGCATCCCGCCGTTCTGCCAAAACCGAACAAGCAAATCAATTCAGTGATGCAAGCTGTGTTTAGATGTTTCAGAGATGTTGGAAACTGTGCGGAGCAAACGATCACGAGGGGCTCCCCTCGTGCAGGGCTTCCAGCGTTTCTCTCTGAGGCATGATTCTGTGCAACCTGAAAAGCACGCCTTGTTCTGAGCCCTCAAAACGGGCCGATGGAAAGGCGGCCATCGCTGTCCCCCCGATTCTTGCCTAACCAATGCCAAAGGCTCCCAGAATGTGCGTAAACTGAGGGCCAGTCACCAAATCCATCTGTTTGCTGCACCGCTAAAGAGCGCCCTCCACTGCCCCTGCTGGGTCCCAGCGAGGCTCACCAGGTGAAGGGAGGGCAGGTGAGCCCTTCAGGTGTCCGGACTGCTTGCTTGCTTGCTTTTTGCATGTCAACACCAGCAACCTGAATCCGTGCCCACGGCCAGTGCCCACTCAATCCAGAGCCTCTTGATGTCTTTACTTGCGAAACGCCACCTCCTGGCACTCAGGGAAAGCCACCACGGCGGCCCCCGCCGATGCCGGAAGGAGACGTCTGCCAAACGGGATAGGAACTACCTGTCAGCCTGTTTGTGATCCGGGTTGACAGATGCAGAGGAAGCCGGATGGGTGCGCTGAGGACTGGACATTCACACATGCCCTGCTGCCAAAACTGGGTCGGCGTCCTGGCTGCTTGTCTCCCTTCTCTTGGGATCCAGATTGTGCGAGAGAGCCTGGATCTTCGGGAGAAGGCAGAAAAGCACCTGGAGAGCCTTCCCTGTTTGGGGTGTTAGCGGGGGGGCAAAGCCAGACCTAGAAGAGTTGCCCTCCTTGAACAGGAGAGGAGGCCCCGCGGGGGGAGCGCTGCCAGGACAAACGCACAGAGACTCTGCCTCCGTCGGCCATGCCTGGGCGCAGAGCAGCCCTGGGCTCAGACCACGCGTGGAGCCGGCCCGGTCGCCTGCTGCAAGCACAACGCAGGCACGGCTCCGTGGGCACGTCCACCCCTCTGGCTGCAGCCATCCGCGGGGGCTGCCGAGGCTCCCACAGCCGGGGACTGAGCGGGGCGGGGACGGGGCCCTGCTGGCGCTAGCCCACCGGCGCAAAGGACGGGCCGCCTGGCCTCGGACCACCCCCGCGAGGCCCTGCAAGCCCCCCGACACCCCGATCCGAGGGGGCAGCACCCCTGGGGCCTGCGGGGCCCCCTGCAGAAGCTCCCCCAAGAGGGCCTGGGGGATGGGAAGGGCCCCCTCTGGAAGGGGGCATTTGAGGGTGCCACAGCCACCCCTTCGCCAGCAGCCCAGAGCGGCTGGATCGCGTGGGGCAGTGGGTGCTCTGGGGAAGGACGAACGCCTGGCTTGGCTGCCGGGCTCATGCTCAGCTCGGCCCCCCAGGCCACACTGGGGGGCCACGGGGCCCCCAAGCACCGGCCCGGCCGAGGCAGATGTTTATTCAGCATCCGAAAATAAAAAGAGGAGCTCATCATCCACGTTCACGGAAAAGTCCTCTGGTTGCCAAGAACAACGCGGCTTGCGGGGTCGCCTGGCGGAGCGGTTCGGGGACGTGGGAAGGCAGCGGGGAGAGGGGGCAGAGCCTCCCCCGGGGACCAGTCCTGGCATCCGCGGAGCAGGCAGCCGGCTGCTCGCTCTGCCAGCCTCGGCTCACCTCCCAACAGGAAGAAGCGGGCTGCGGCGCGTCACCCCCCGTTTATAAATAGACCGTGTGATGCCGAGGCTCTCGCGTCAAGCGGCCTGGCGGTGCCGTGGGCACTGCTGCTGCCCCCCACCCTCAGGACCTGGCCCCCTTCTCGGTCTGGGCAGAAGGCTGCCGGGTGAGGCACACGAGATCTGGCGAGGCGCACGGATCTGCGCCTCCAGTCTCTTCCGCACCCCCTTGCCCTGCCCTGCGCTCACTTTTCTGAGAGCTGCCTGCAGCACCTTGGAGCCTCCGTGCCCCCCACCCCAGATTCCCGGGTCCGTGCATGGTCCCCAGGCTGGCCACGCAGCACTGCCGCCCCACGACGCTTCCGCGCACGGCCCTCAGGCGCCGCGGCAGCTCGTGGGCCCGGCTGGTCCGCTGCGTGGTGCACGCTGTGGTGGCGTTGCATAAGCTGACCCAGGGCAGGCACCGTTCGGCAGGAGCCGCACCTCCACAGGGCCCCCCGAGCCGAGCCTGGGGCTCACCCTGCGCCTTCCCCGTGGCACCAGGCAATGGGCAGCTGGGGGGGGCTGCCACTTAGTTGCTCCTGGCGCCGTGAGGATGAGAAGGGAGCCCCCTGGGGGGAGGCCATGGCGGGCATCCTGCCCAAGGGCCCCCAGCCCCTGGAGAGGCGGAGAATGGCCTGCCCCCGGCTCCCTGCCGCACCCTGCCTGTCGTCCGGGCACTGGCCCAGCGCCCCCCAGCCACCAAGCCATCCAAGGGGTGGACAGAGGGTCCCCCTCCCAGGCCACGAAGGAGCGCTTCCCCGCGTCCCCAGCAGCCAAGAGCAGCCCGGGCCAAGCCGAGGTTCCGGCGCAGGAGAGGACAGAAGACGCCTCCTTTGTGCCGCGGCACAGAGCCCTCTTTCTCCCGGCTGAAAAGGCAGCGGCCTAAATCGCCGAGGCTGCCGGAGGGCCGTCGCTTGCCAGCCTTTTGTGCCGCTCGTTGGGGTCCCTTGCAACACCAGCACAAGACCATGCCTGGCATGCTAACCGCGCCCCCCCCCCTTGTGCCAAGACGGGCTGCCAGCCGTCCGCTGCGGCAGCATCCCCGTCAGTCAGGCCACGCGTGGCATGACGGGCAGGAGGGGAGCAAGGCGGGGGCTCTGCCAGGGAGAAACCGGCCAGTGGAGCTGCGGGGCATGAGAACGGGGCCAGGGGCAGCCGGGGGTGGGGGCCCATGACCCTCTGGCTTGCCCTCTTCCCGGTGCCTTTCAGAGCCTGCATGGCCAGGCTGGACTGTTCCCCATCACACAGTCACAAAACGAACCGAAGAACACACTCACAACATCACGGTGTGGGAGGAACAGGCCCGGGCTTCCTACGGACACAAAAAGATTTAGCTGCCACACTCAAAAACTTCGTTCTCATTGCCGTGTTTATCTGTATTCCACCTTTTCCCAGGACTGAGACTCAAGCCAGCTTGCAACATGCAGCAGCTATTCAATTAACAGAGTAATGCAAATGCGCAGAAGTGAAAGGGATAATTAGAAAAGCTAGAATATCAAAATTATATACATGCCTGACTTAAAATGCTAGTAGAAGCGATGCAGTCGAGAGAACCAGCCTGACTGCGTCTGGTATAACGGGGTGGATGCCTGTCTAGCCCCCCAAGGATGGGAGTTGCAGAGCCTTGGGGCAGCCCCCAAGAAGGGCTGTTCCCACCAAGGGTGGCTGAGTGGAGGTGGGAGCAAAGGAGGCCTCCCCACAGATCCCAGGGCACAGGCCGGCTCATGCGGAGGACGCGGTCCTTCAGGTTGCCTGCGCTGGAACTGTACGGGCTTTCCAGTTCAACACCAGCACAGGCCTTTGAATGTGTCTGGAAACAGACTGGAGCCAGTGGAGGCGGTGGCGGCTCCCCGCAGCCATTTCCAGTCAAGAGCCTGGCAGAAGCCCCCCAGGCCGCTGGGGTTGCCAACCCTCTTCCGAGGCAGCCCCACGCAGAGCGCATCGCAGCAGTCCGAGCTGCAGCTGGCCTCTCCGGGAGGGACACGGCCCCCGCCAGCACGGGCGGCTCCTGGCCTTCCCAGGGGCCAAAGTGCCACCGCCAGGCCCAGCCCTCCCCCGGCCCACCCTCATCTGGGGGTGCCTGCCTAGCTGACAGCTCTTCTCCCTCCCCAGGAAGGACGCGAATCGGCACCCCCCGGCGCGACTGCTGAGAATGGCGGCGGGAAGAAGAAGCAGAAGGAGAAGGAGCTGGACGAGCTGAAAAAAGAGGTCAACCTGGTAAGAGAGGCCACGGGGAGGCATGCCGGGGGGGGGGGCTAAGGCAGCCCCCCCCAGCCCTGATGAATCCAAGGAAAACTGCCCCCTCCGGGACACAGCCCCGGCCCTCCTGGCTCAGGAGGGGGAGCTGGGCGGAATGCGCCTCCTTGGTGTGCAGGGGGCGACCTTTGGATCCAGTTCCCCCGCAAGGTCACGCAGCTCTCGTGTCCCCGTGACTCACGGCCCGGCCTGTCTTCCTCCCCTCCCCTCCCCTCCCAGGATGACCACAAGCTGTCCCTGGACGAGATCAGCAGGAAGTATCAAGTGGACCTGTCCAGGGTGAGTCCAGCGGTTGGTTGGTTCCTTCCTTGCCGCCGGCACCCCACCCACAAGACGCCCCGTGCTCCTCGTGCCCGTGGGCCCCTCGCGGAGGTTGGGGGGAGATGGGCGATGCCTCTCCCAGCCCTGGAGGGGTGGACCGCTCCCCAGACGGGCGGCTGTGCTCAGCCACGCACACGGCTGGAACGCACCGTGAGCCGTGTCCTCCCCCAAGGCGAGGGCAAGCCCGACCCCTCTGCCCCATGCCTTGATGCGCCCCCGTGCCACAGCCCCCCGCGTGTTCCCGTGGCCCCCCGTGCCCTCAGCCCCCTCGCCGGCCTGGCCCAATGTGGCCCTCACCCCGTCCCCTTCCTCCTGCAGGGCTTGAGCAACGCTCGGGCCGCCGAGATCCTCGCCCAGGACGGCCCCAACGCGCTGACACCCCCTCCCACCACGCCGGAGTGGGTCAAGTTCTGCCGGCAGCTCTTCGGAGGCTTTTCCATCCTCCTGTGGATCGGAGCCATCCTCTGCTTCCTGGCCTACAGCATCCAGGCTGCCATGGAGGACGAGCCGGCCAACGACAACGTAAGTCCCGCGGCCTCACGCCGGGTGCCGGGCACGAGTCTGACGGCACGGACACCTTCTCGGCCCAGCCGCAAATCCGCCGCCCACACGGTGCTTCTCGCGTGTTACACAAGACCAGCCAAGGCCCCCACCTCCGAAAAGCCCTCCAGAACGGCGACCTCCCAAGAAAGACACACGGCCACCCGCTAAAACCCAAAGCGATTCACAGGATGGGCATCATGCGAACATGAGATGCCGGCGAAATGTTTGATCTGTTGAGGACACGAGCACCACTAAGCCCCGCTAAACCTTATGGGAAGGCAGAGGAGGGGGCTGGTGCGTCCGCCTCTCCACCCCGTGGCTCCAGAAATTCTGGGGCCAAGCAGCTGGCCTTGCACACGCCCCCGGCCGCCTGTGCCCGCCCCCCCCCCCCGTGCTTCCTCCCCAGGAAGGGAATCACTGGCCTTGTGGGGCTGGCCAGCCTTTCTTATTCACAGCGGCTTTTCGTTAAGAAAGAAAAGGGCTCATTTCACGGCTGCCTTTGTTCCTTTCCCCTTTTTCTGCGCTCCTGGGGCGTTTTCCTAGCATCTGCGCACAGGTGGGGCGCCCTGGAGTCAAGGGCAAAGGGTTGCGTCTGAACCCGCCAGAGCCCCGCCTGGCTTCGGGGACAACCCTGCAGCCCCGGGCATTGTCCTGGCCCTTTGCCCAACTGGCCAGGCGAGAAAAAGGCTCCTTTCCTGCCGCGGAAGCTGGAACCCGAGCGAGCGGCATCCCCTTCCCTTCCCTTCCCTTCCCTTCCCGAGCAGCCTTCGGGGCGCCATGAGCAGGCGATAATCGCTTCAGCCGAAAGGGGGGAGACGCGGGGGCAAAAGGCGGAACCCTTCGCGAGAGGCGGGGCTGGGGCGCCGAGCCCTCCCCCCAAAATCCCCAACCCACCTGAGCGCTCCGAGGAGGTCGGGCTGGCCCTCCGGAGACCGGCTGCAGCGCGCCGCCCGCCGGGCCTCCTTGGTGGCGGCGCCGCCCCCGGGAGGCCCCGCCCACACGCGGCGGAGAGGCGCCCCCCCCCGGGCGGGGCCGCCTGCGGGGCCAGGCGCGCGCTTCCGCCCGGGGGGGGCCGCCCCCGCCACGTCTGCCGCGCCCCAAGGCACCGTGCGTCGCCGGGCCCGAAGCCCTGTTGCGCCCTGCAGATGTGCAGGGGGGGGGCCCTTCAGCAGCCCTGCCTGCGGCTCCACTGGTGAGGCACGCGACCCCCCCATCGCGCATCCGCATCCTCGCTATGTTGGCGCGCAGGGAGCCAAACACCCAACGCCAATTGCCAAAGGGCAGTTCTGTGCCCGCCTCCCCGGAAGAAAACGGGGCCTGCGTGCCGGGCTTTCCCTGGGAGCAAGCGCCCCCCCCCCCCGCCCTGCGGAGGGCAACCCACCCCCACCAGCCTCCCCCACGAATATCTGTTGGCAAAAGGAGGAGAAAGTGCTGCGGCACATGCAGTGCCCGGGGGCACCCGCGGTTCGGGGAGGCAGGGGCTTCAGGGGCCAGGCGGGCCGCGGGCAGCAGGCACCGGCCTCTGGCCCTGGGGTCAAGCCATGCGGCATGGACTGCACGCAGTGAGTGTGGGAATCAGTTCCTGAATCCCAAAGCAGAATGTCCGTCCGTCCGTCCGTCCTCCCTCCCTCGTCTTCCATCTCCGAGAACAAGCCAGCACACCACCTGCCCTCTTGGACGTGGAAGTGGCTTTGAGGGCTTTGTCAGCAGTCAGGCCCGTGTGTCCTGTGGCGGCACAGAGCGGCCTCCTGACTCTGTCTTTGTTTCAATTTACAACACACACACACACCACATCAAACTGTTGATGGAACATTTCCCATTTAACACTTCCCCGCATCACAGGCAAAAATATAGGGGCAATGTATAATCTTTAGTGTCTTTTGCATAGGCTGAAGAAAGGCCCTGACAAATTCTGCGGTGTATGCCCCCGATTCTCATGCACAATAAAACCACGCTGTATTTTATTTTTAAGAGCTGGTATTTTGACTTTGTTTTCACCCATTTCAGTTGCAAAATCATTTTTCCTTCTGCAGCTATTTGCCATGTCTCCCTATACCAAGATTGCAGTGTTAGAATTTCTGCAATTCCCAATGTTCAGTTTTTACCAGGAGAGCGGTCCTCAAGAGCCAGGATCTGGCCTTGCAGCCAACTCCGTTTCTGTCTCCCCAGCTCTACCTGGGGGTGGTCCTGGCAGCGGTTGTCATTGTCACCGGCTGCTTCTCCTACTACCAGGAGGCCAAGAGCTCGAAGATCATGGACTCCTTCAAAAACATGGTGCCCCAGGTAAGGCTCTGCCCCATCGCGGGGCGTGGGAGGGCAGCTGCTGGGCACTCCGGGGTGCCCCCTTGAGCCAAGAGGTCCAGCGGCCTTCTTGAAATCGGACCCACCCTGCCGGTCTGGACCACGGGCCGCATCCACAGCCTTCCCCAGCCACCTTGGCTGTTCGGCAGTTGCGTTTATCTCATTCTATACCATTTCATTTCTGCACCACCCAATACCAACGGCTCTCTGGGTAGTTCACAACATTTCACAAACCAGAGATCATAAATACATTACAACACAACAGGAGTTTCCCATGTGCAAACTAAAGAACAATTCGACGAAGCCCTGGAGACGCGTTCATTTACCTTGCCATCACTCAGTCAGTCTCGGCTGGGTGCTTTTGTGGAGATGCCGGCCCGTTTGAACGGTCTGTGTTCTCCGTCTCGCTTGTGCCTGCGCGTATTGCGCTTTGGGGTCTGTAGGCCGCCCTGGGAGGGCTCTCAGTCTGTTGAAGCAAACAACCACCGAATCGCCCCAACGTCATGCACAGGCATCGCAACGCGTGCTCCTGGGCCCTAAATGCCAGCGTCCCGCTGCCCAGCTGTGGCTCCCTCTCCATGCCAGGCCCTGTTTTTGAGACCCCACAGCAAGACCCCCCACAGGCCTGCATTCCCGCCACCTGCTCTCGCCCCCATCCTCTGGCCTTTCCCCACCGTGCCTGGACAGCGGGAGTGGCCAGGGCGGGGTCCCGTCTCCCTCCTCACACCCCGCCAGCTGCCTCCGGGCGAGGGCCAGCGCTCAGGCGGGCTGCGGTGGAGGAGAGGAGAGGAGCTGCGGCGGGGCCTCTCCGTGTGGATGTGGGCGCCCGGCTGCTGCCTGGCCACGGCGGCGCAGGCAGGCAACCGATCCGACGCGAGAGGAAGCCGCCTGCGCAAAGCTGCGCCCGTGCTTGTTGTGTGTGCTTTTCCAAGGCGAACAGGCTGTAGCGCGCACCGAGCAAAGCAGCCCACAGACGTGTGCAGGGCAAGCGCAGGCAGGCTTCAAGCGGGGGGGGGGGGGCGGCACCCGTGGGGCTGCCGGTCCGCAGCCTCGTGGACCCGGAGAAGCGCTCTGCTGCCCTCTTGTGGCTGACGGGGGGCAGTCCGTCCCCCGACGGTGCCCACTTTCCCCACACAGACTGGCACCCAGTCCGGGCGCCAGTGTGGCCTTCCCTCGGCTGCTCTGAGGGCAGACAGGCCCCTGCCCGCTGATGAGCCTCCGGCGCCTCGTCCCCGCCGGGCGCTTCTCTGCCTGACGGTTTCCTCCGGCGGGTCTCCCCAGAGGACTGGCGGCGGGAGGCTGGCTGCAAAATCCACCAGCACAAAGCAGCCCCGGCCCCGTTCCGGCCCAGTCTGCGCCTGCCTCTCACGGGCCTCTGGGGACGCCGGCCGGAGCTGCCATGGCTACGTCCCCACTCTGGCTCTCCGGAGACGGTGGCCTTCACAGGTCCAGGGCTGGGGGGCTGCGGCAAAGGTGCCGGGTGGGAGCTCAGGCAAGGGAGGGGGGCGCCCCACGAGGCGCTCTGCCCCTCCCGAAACGCCTCTCCTCCCCAGCAAGCGCTTGTGATCCGGGAGGGCGAGAAGATCCAGATCAACGCGGAGAACGTGGTGGTGGGGGACCTGGTGGAGGTGAAAGGCGGAGACCGAGTCCCGGCGGACCTGCGGATCATCTCCTCCCACGGCTGCAAGGTGAGGCGGGTGGGCGCGGGACCTGCCCACCCCGCGATGCGAGAGCAGCCCACGGAGCCTGGCCCTCCTCCCTGCCCCTCCCACCTCGGAGGCCTCTCACGCCCCCCCCCCCCCCGCTGGTCCCGGCTAGGTGGACAACTCCTCCCTGACGGGCGAGTCGGAGCCGCAGACCCGCTCCCCGGAGTTCACGCACGAGAACCCGCTGGAGACCCGCAACATCTGCTTCTTCTCCACCAACTGCGTGGAAGGTGCGTGGGCGGCACGGGCCGGGGGGGGCAGGGCCTTGCACGGCGACCGCGCTCCTCCGGGGGGCCGGCGCGGCTGCGGCCCCGGCCGGCTTGCAGGAGCACCTCGAGGGATCCCCGAGGGACACGCCGTGGGCGGCCCTCCCATCGGCCTCGGGGCCGCGAGGCCGGGAAAGGGGGCTGACGGCCGCCCTCTCCCGCTGGCCCAGGCACGGCCCGGGGCATCGTCATCTCCACGGGGGACCGAACCGTGATGGGCCGCATCGCCTCACTGGCCTCCGGGCTGGAGGTGGGCCGCACCCCCATCGCCATGGAGATCGAGCACTTCATCCGCATCATCACCGGGGTGGCCGTCTTCCTGGGCATGTCCTTCTTCATCCTCTCCCTCATCCTGGGCTACACCTGGCTGGAGGCCGTCATCTTCCTCATCGGCATCATCGTGGCCAATGTGCCGGAGGGGCTGTTGGCAACCGTCACGGTGAGCGGGGCCGTCCGCCTCGGCGGGAGGGGCAGAGGACGAGCCAGAGTCCCGAAGCAGCGGGCGGGGGCTGCCCTGCAGGAGGGGCTGCTGCCAGGGACTGGCTTGCCCCCGGGGTGGCCCGACCTCGCCAAGGGCAGCTGTGAGCAAGCCCACGAGGCACGGAAGGCCCCTGCCGCTGACAGGCAGCAGAAGGGACCGGAGATCCCGGGGGGGGGGCGCTCCCACCAAGCCAGCCCGCCTGCCACACGCCCCCAGCATTCCCAGCAGAGTCTGTGGGAAGCCCTGCGAACGGTGGCTGAATTTCCAGCGCTGCCACGTGACGTGTGCTGGTTCCCCAAACAGTTTCTGTGAGTCCACTGGACCTTTATGCAAGCTGAAGCGGAGACCCATCATGCCACAAAGCACAGGCGGGCGGCCGGGTGCCCCCCAGGGGTCCTGCGGGGCAACTCTCGCCGCCTCGGCCCGGGGGCCTCGCCCGAGACGCCTGGGAGGCACCAGGTGGCCTGATCCTGAGAGAGAGAGAGAGAGAGCACGGGAGGGGGCTGGGGTCCCACCTTTCTCGCCCAGACTGGGGGCACCCAAGGCGGCGCAAAGCAGCACTGGCAAAGCCCCAGGCAGGTGCAGAAGCGCGCAAGCAAAGCGATTCGTGAAAGACAAAGGAGCGAGGACCAAAACGGGAGGAAGCGGCGTTCTGAGCGCAGGAGGAGGGCAGATGGGGGGGGGGGGGGCTGCTCGGGCCCCCCACCTCCCCCCCCCCCCCGCAGGTGTGCCTAACGCTCACGGCCAAGCGCATGGCGCGCAAGAACTGCCTGGTGAAGAACCTGGAGGCCGTCGAGACGCTGGGCTCCACCTCCACCATCTGCTCCGACAAGACGGGCACCCTCACCCAGAACCGCATGACGGTCGCCCACATGTGGTTCGACAGCCAGATCCACGAGGCCGACACCACCGAGGACCAGTCCGGTGAGGGCTCTCCCGCCTCTCTGGGGCACGGCGGGCAGGGCGCGCCTGCCGGGAGCGCTGGGGGCCGACGGGGCGCCTTTCCTGGCGCCTCGGGACATGCTCGGTGCCAGCCGGCCGGCTGGCAGGGGGCAGGCAAAGGGGCCCCTGAGCACCGGGGCGATTGGGGGCCCAGCAGGCCCCCCAGGGCACCGTCTCCTGCGCAGGCACCGTGCTGCTTGCGTTATCCCCGCAACCTCGCAGCAGTTCCTGCAGGGATGGGCTGGAGCATCCATGACACGGACTGGGGCCTGCAGGGCACTAAATGCGGGCAGAGGAAGGCGGGCCGCCTTGTCCTGGGTTGGGGGTGCCGGCGATCCCGGCGAGTGACCCCCTCTGCTGGTGCAGAGCTGCCGAGCCGGCTGTGGCTCTGCTTCCGAGCGCGGGAGTCTGGCTTGCCGCGGTGGGCTGGCTTTGCTCCATGGGCCTGCCCCGCCGCCCCCCACCGCCTGAGCCCCCATCCCCTCTCCCCCCAGGAGCCACCTTCGACAAGCGCTCCCCCACCTGGACGGCCCTGGCCCGCATCGCAGGTCTCTGCAACCGGGCCGTCTTCAAGGCAGGCCAGGAAAAGGTCCCCATCTCGAAGGTACAGGGCCGCGTGCCGTGGGCCCTGCAGAGTCCGGGGCACCCGATTCTGCGGGGGGGGGGGGGCGCAGTCGGCAGTCCTGCTAGCGAGGGCATGAGGGCACGCGGCCCCTGCCGGCCCGGCTCCGATGCAGCGCCTCCTGGCGGGAGCTCCTCCCGCATCTGCCCTGGCCCCTCTCCTGCACAGCGGCTGCAGGGAGGGCTCCGTCAGCCGGGGGTGGGGGTCCAGCTCGGCCAGGGTCTGACACTCCCCTTTGCAGAGGGACACGGCCGGCGACGCCTCCGAGTCCGCACTGCTGAAGTGCATCCAGCTCTCCTGCGGGTCCGTCAAGAAGATGCGGGACAAGAACCCCAAAGTGACGGAGATCCCCTTCAACTCCACCAACAAGTACCAGGTGGGGGGGCTCTCAGTGGAGGGGGCGCCAGCAGGCTTGTCCCGGGGAAGCAGGCGCTGGGTGAGAGGCCCCCCGCTCCCTCCATGGCTCAGGCGCGATTGCACAGTCGCCCGGCACCCGAATCGCAGAAGCGACTCCGGGACTCGGGGCCCGTCTCTGGGTCCCCCTTGCCGGGAGGCACGCTCCATGAGCGTCGGGCTGCCCCGGCGGGCTCAGAGGACCCGTAAGCTCCCCCAGCCCAGCCGAGGGATTGCAGCAGCCCCAGATCACAGCGAGGGTCCGGCAGCGGCTCACGCTTTGGGGTGTACAGGAAGGCTGAGAAGGCGGGGAGCCTGGCCGAGCCCGGGGCGCATCCCGCGCACTGGGGGGGCACCGTCCCCGCGACTCCCGGCCTGCCAAGCTCTCAGCAGTGGGCCAGTCGGGAGGCGATCTCCTGGCAACGGGAGCAGCTGCCGCTCAAGTGCCCATGTTTGCCTTCCCCTTCCCCCATCGCTCATTATGTGTGACAATAATCATCATGACGATGATGATGAGGAGGAGGAGGAGGCGGAGGCGGCTGCTCTATAAATAGGGGCAAACTGCATAACTATAAACAAAAAGCAGGCAGCAATTGCCGGCTGAGGCAAAGCAAGACGATGAATAAAAGACCATCATTTGTGCGTCGTGGGAAGCCAGCAATAATCATCACCGAGTCCAGAAGATGAAATCTGGAATTCCAAGCCATGTCTTTAGAAACAGGAAGGAGCACGAGGGAGAGGCAGATGGAGAGCAAGACCCCTCGGCCGGCCCACCCGCCACCAGGAGAGCGATCTCCGCCCCTGTGTGCTCCCACCGTCATCTCCTTCCTGGGTGCCCGCCGGCCCACCCCTCGGCCCCTGCATCCATCCAGACAGGGCTCCCCTGGAGTCCGCCAGGCCTTCCCCAGGCAGCCGAGCTGATACGCGGCCTCTGGGGGGACCCGCGCCAGGCCTCGCCTTCCCTCCTGGCTCCGTAGCGAGCTCCAGAACGGGCGAAGTTTGTGGGGAGTCTGCCAGGGGGCGGGGGGCACTTATTGCAAGACTGGCAGCCCCCCCACAACATCTCGGAGGTGCCAGTTTGTAGGATGCTTCCTTACTGGGGAAGTTCTGCCCCATGTACGGCAAACGGGCGGCCGGCAAACGGGCGCACACATGGCACACGCCGGGATCGCGCCTGGACGGGCAAAGCACGTGGCGCCCGGCGGCCCTCCTGGCCCAGGCGGACAGGGGCGTGCCCGCCTGCAGGGCCGGCGTGCTGCCTCAGTCAGGGAAGCCCGTGGGCGCCGCCCCCGCTCAGGCCGCCTTCTGCCCGCAGCTCTCCATCCACGAGCCAGAGGACAAGCCCCACGGCTACGTGCTGGTGATGAAGGGGGCTCCCGAGCGGATCCTGGACCGCTGCAGCACCATCCTCCTGCAAGGGCAGGAAGTGCCGCTCGACGAGGAGATGCGCGACGCCTTCCAGAACGCCTACCTGGAGCTGGGCGGGCTGGGCGAGCGCGTGCTGGGTGAGCGCTGGGGCCGGGCTGGCCAGGCAGGTGGGGGGGCCCGGGGGCTGCTCCGGACACAGCCGCGGCCCCCTCGGCCTCAGACGCGGGGCTCAATCTCAGGCAGGGCGGAGGATCTGGCCCCCCAGGCCCTGTGCCGGCACTCTGCCCCCCTTCGGGGCGTGGGACCTCATGCAGGGGGCGTCCCCCCGCATGGCAAAGGCACCCAGGGCCACGCGTGCCTCCGGCTTCCCCTTGGCTACGCCGGCACGGCGGCCCCGTGAGCGCGCTCAGGCTGCCCGGGCTACCCGCCCCCCTTCGCCGCTGGCCCTCCAGCGCTTCGTGGGGGGCTTGGGCCTGCTCTGGGCTCTCTGGGGTGGGGGGCTGCTGAGGCCGAGACCCACGGGGCGCTTTCAGAGCGGCCCCCGAAAGCGGTGCCGAGGCATGTGAGGCGCACGTGGGGAGCTGCGGGAGCCGCGGAGGGCGGCTCTGCCGAGGGGGCGCCGTGGCCTCACTGGCCGTCTCCTCGCCCCAGGCTTCTGCCACTACTACCTGCCCGAAGAGCAGTTTCCGCGCGGCTTTAAGTTCGATGTGGACGAGCTGAACTTCCCCATCACCAACCTCTGCTTCGTGGGGCTCATGTCCATGATCGACCCCCCGCGGGCCGCGGTGCCGGACGCCGTGGGGAAGTGCCGGAGCGCCGGCATCAAGGTAACCCGGCTGGGCGGGAGGGGCGGCCGCGAGGACGTGGGAGCGAGACGCTTCCAGAGGAGCCCGGAGCCACTGAATCGCCTCCGTTCCGTTTCCAAAACTGCACCGCAGCTCCCTTCGCTTCCTTCCCACTACGAAGCTCAAGGGATCACAGATCAGACCCAATAAAACAGGGAGAGAGCAGCCCACGCGTCGCCAGGCGAAGAGCCGTTCGCGTGGGCCACTCTGACCCCCGGCCGGGTGCACAGATAGGGCTTCAACTGGCAGGCAAAGCGTAGGGGATCGGGGTCTATGAGCCACGGGGGGGGGGGGCGCGGGGTCCTGCCAGGCTGCCTGCGTCAGATTCCCAGCGAACGGCTGTGCCGAGAGGCTTCTCCCTCCGGCTCTCCGGGCAGGAGCGCCACCGCGGACATGCCCCCACCGCGCGCGGCTCGCTCCTGCCCCACCAGCCTCCGTCCCTCCGCTCCCTGGCAGGTGATCATGGTGACGGGCGACCACCCCATCACGGCCAAGGCCATCGCCAAGGGGGTGGGCATCATCTCCGAGGGGAACGAGACCGTGGAGGACATCGCGGCCCGGCTCAACATTCCAGTCAACCAGGTGAACCCCAGGTAGGCCGGGCTCTCGGCCACCGGGAGGCCCCCGCCGCCGCCTCTCCCCGGCTCCCGCATGCTCGTGGGTCTCCCCCCACAGGGAAGCCAAGGCCTGCGTGGTGCACGGCTCCGACCTCAAGGACATGCCCGCCGAGCACCTGGACGAGATCCTGAAGAACCACACGGAGATCGTCTTCGCGCGCACCTCCCCACAGCAGAAGCTCATCATCGTGGAGGGCTGCCAGCGGCAGGTGGGCCCCCGGGCGGCGAGGGCAGGGGGGCCCCGGGGCCTCGCCCCGCGCCCGTCCCCAAGGGCACTCCCAAGGGCGAGGGGTTCTCCGGGCCCCCGGAGGGGGAGATCACGCCACCTCCCTCTTCACGGGGGTCCCGCGGCCCGGCCCGGCCCCACCGCCCACTGGGCCGAGCCATGCAACTCCAAATGGCCACCGGAAGGAGCCCCCCGCCGGGCTCGCTGCCACCCCGCAAATTGTGAGTGCGGCTACAGAAGGGCCGGGGGGGGGCACGTGGGCCCCAACACCCAATGCCCACGCCCACCCTGTGCGATCGGCCTTTCCGCACTTAGGGGGCGATTGTGGCGGTGACAGGGGACGGGGTGAACGACTCCCCGGCCCTCAAGAAGGCGGACATCGGCATCGCCATGGGCATCGCCGGCTCCGACGTCTCCAAGCAGGCCGCCGACATGATCCTCCTGGACGACAACTTCGCCTCCATTGTGACAGGGGTGGAGGAAGGTGGGTGGCTCCCGGGGGGGGGGCACCCTCAAGCCAGGCCTGGGCCTCCGGCAGCGGCCCCCCTCCAGCAACTCTGCTCGTGGCCCACAGGACGCCTGATCTTCGACAACCTGAAGAAGTCCATCGCCTACACTCTGACCAGCAACATTCCAGAGATCACCCCATTCCTGCTCTTCATCATCGCCAACATCCCGCTGCCGCTGGGCACCGTCACCATCCTGTGCATCGACCTGGGCACCGACATGGTGAGGCCCTCCCCTCCCCACCGGAGCCCTCCGATAGCAGCCTCCTTTTCGCCTCGTGGTTTTACGTGGAAAGTGGCCGGGAAGAGGGAGAAATGAGGCACAATCTCATGCATGCTGCCACGGGCAACAGTCCCGGCGTTCCCCAGCCGGCGTCGGGCACTCATCCCGGGGACCTGGCCGGCCATGAAGGGCCAAACCCCAAAGACGGAGCAGCAGCTCGGTGCAAACAGAAGCTCGAACGTCAGTCGAGCCCGTTCCAGGAGGCAGGGGCTCCAGAAGCCCTCCGAACAGGGGAGAAGAGGGCCCGGGGCCTTCCGCAGAGGCCCACGCTGAGCGCTTCTGCCGTTGGCGCCTTCCGTGCCGATGGGACTGGAGGGAGAGCTGCAGCGGCTTTCCTGGGAACCGCATGTGGATCTTTGGTTGATCCATTTCCCCCAGAACTTGCCCCCCGGAGACTCTGAGCAAGCATGCTTATCCAGTAAACTGGACTAGCTTTGGACAGATGTCCCCTTCCCCTGGGGAGGGCAAAGCAAATGAAGCGGGGGCCATTTCTGCGGTTCTGCGTGGGAGAGGCAGCCGGGGAAGCCAGCCAGCCTCAGTGCCATCTGCCGCTGTAGGTCCCGGCCATCTCCCTGGCCTACGAGGCTGCGGAGAGCGACATCATGAAGAGGCAGCCCCGCAACCCCAAGACGGACAAACTGGTCAACGAACGCCTCATCAGCATGGCCTACGGGCAGATCGGTGAGCCGGCGGTGTTCGGGCAGCCCTCGGGGGCGTGGGTCACCCCAGGGCAACTCCGTTCGTAACCGGGGCTCTGGCAACGTGCTCTCGCACAGACCCGCCAGCAGCAGGACGGCTCCCTTGCGGCCGGCTGAGCAGCCCGCCGGTTAATCCAGCACCGGGCCACCAGCGTTTCCATCTCTAGGGAGTCCTCACATTTGTGCCAGGTGCACAAAACCATGACAAAGCAGACCGGAATATCTATTTTGGGTGGGGGAGAGAGTCTTTCCAAAGAGCTGGTCTGGAGTTCCCGCGTTCATGCGCTCGCACGGCTCCCCCGAGGGCAACCGCACTGCGGCCCCCAGAAACGGCCAGGCACATGGGGAGGGCATTCCCCGGTGGAGAAGCAGTCCCTGCCTCCGCTGCCGGCGAAGCCGCCCGCACGTGGCCTCGGGCCAACCCGCTGCCTGCCCTCCCCAGGCATGATCCAGGCGCTGGGCGGCTTCTTCACCTACTTCGTGATCCTGGCGGAGAACGGCTTCCTGCCCACCACCCTGCTGGGCATCCGCCTGGACTGGGACGACCGCTCCAAGAACGACCTGGAGGACAGCTACGGCCAGGAGTGGGTGAGCGGGCGGGCGGCTGGCCGCACGCAGGGGGCCGGGGAGCCTGTCCAGGGGGCCACACGCCCCGCCCGGCTCCCCGTCCCTCCCCGGCCGCTGTTCGCCGAGCTTGGTAGCGCCTCCCTGGAGCCTCCACCAGGCCTGGCCCGCCTTCCGCTCACCCGCCGTGGGGGCAGCTCAGGATGAGCGGAGAGGCCCCACTGCGGGCAGTGCAGAGGGGGCCGAGGCGAGCGGGGGGCGCACGGGGCTCCGCCCCACCTGGGGCTGAGGAGCCCCCGCTAGGGCCGCTCTCCCTCTGCCCCCGCAGACCTACGAGCAGCGGAAGGTCGTGGAGTTCACCTGCCACACGGCCTTCTTCGCCAGCATCGTGGTGGTGCAGTGGGCCGACCTGATCATCTGCAAGACGCGCAGGAACTCCGTCTTCCAGCAAGGCATGAAGTGAGTCCCAGCGCCCGGTCCCTGGACGCCCCACCGAGGGCTCCGCCGCGCAGGACGGAGCAAGGGGCCGGGGGGACGCGTGCCCCCGGCCAGCTCCTCTTTCCCGTCTCTCCCCCAGGAACAAGATCCTGATCTTCGGCCTGCTCGAGGAAACCGCCCTGGCCGCCTTCCTGTCCTACTGCCCCGGGATGGGGGTGGCGCTGCGCATGTACCCGCTGAAGTGAGTGGCTCGCGGGCCCCGCCGCCCATCCCGGCCGTGGCCACAGCGCTGCTTCCTGGCCAGCGTGCAGCCCCCCGTGGCCCTCAGAGGCCCGGGACGCGCGGCCTCTAAGCCCCTCTCCCCCACAGGGTCACCTGGTGGTTCTGCGCCTTCCCATACAGCCTGCTGATTTTCATCTACGACGAGGTCAGGAAACTCCTCCTGCGGCGCTACCCAGGCGGTGAGTGCCCCCCGAGCCCCCCGGCACGGATCGCCGGCACGCTCACAGGCGCACCGTGGCACACGCCACGCTTGCCGCCGGCACTGGTGCAAACGCCGCGCCTGCCCTTCCCGGCCGGGGAGAGAGGAGAGCGGAGCCGAGCGCGGGGTCCGGGGATGCAGCCGCCTCGCCGGTGGCCCTTCCTTCCACGTTTCCGAAAGTGCAGCCCTTGCTTAGTCACGAGGGCGCCGGAAGCCTTCGCTGCCCTTATGCGTGTGCGTGTGCATCTATCCATTTATTTAAAATATTTGTATCCTCTCATAAAAAAAACTTTCCAGCGAGGCTTACAAAACTATAGCGACTGGTAACGACAACAAACAACCATAAGCAACAAAAACCTTTTATCAGCAAAAAGTCAAAACCGAAAATGTACGGACGCATTTGCCACATTTCTGTGCCATCCCAAAACAAAGACTGCCCTGGGAGGCTCCGAAGCAGCGCTCCCGACCTGGGCGAGCGCTGGCCCCGTGCCCACCGCCCTCACCCGCCCCCTCCCTTCCTTTGCCAGGCTGGGTGGAGAAGGAGACCTACTACTAGCCAGCGAGCCGAGCCGAGCCGAGCCGAGCCCGGAGCAGCTCTCACCACCTGTAGCCCCCCTGTAGCCGGACAGATGCCAATAAACATAATTTAACCTCTGGTGGCCGCCCAGCTGTTGCTTCGCGTGCGCCTGGGGCCCCGAGGGAGGATGCGGCGAGGGGCCGAGGACAAGCCGAGCACACGGGGCGGACATGCGGGGGCCGCGGGAAGGGAGCCGCCCATGGGATGCGTGCGCACTGCGGGGGCGGAAGGGACGGGCACGTGCGCGTTGGCGGCGCGCCCCGTCTGCAGCGTCGCGAGAGGTGCGTGGGGAGGCTGTGGGGCAGAGCGACAGGGGCCGTGCCCAGCAGGGGGTGCGAAGGAGCCGGGACGGGGGGCCCCTGCCGGGGAGCTGTGCCCCCTGCTAGCTGGGGGTGTGTCCGCCTGCGGGAGACCCCCTGCTGGATCGGGGCCCGAGGGCCCAGAAAGGGTTCCTGGGGGAAACGAGTTCCCGTTTCTCGCTGCCGCCTGCTTGCCGTGCTCCCCCGGACAGGGAACACCGGCCTCTCGCCGTGGGGGCGGGAGAGGGACCGGGGCAGGCCGTGGCGTGTGGCTGCTAGCCCCCGGTGCCGCGGAGGAGCTGGGGCGGGCCCCCCGCTGGAAGCCGTGTGGGACGGGCTCGAGGCCACAGATGGCCCCCGTTCCCACCCTGTCCTCTCCCTGCCCCAGGGCACCTCCCGGGCCGGCTTCCACCGGGGCACCTGGCCCGCCCTGGCCCAGGCAGGGCAGACCCCCCTCCGGCCGGCCAGCAGGGTCTGGGCCCACCACCACCGCCGCCTGAGCCTGGAGCCCGGCTTCGCTGCCCGGGCACTAATGACTGCAAGAGGAGCCGGCGGGCAGGAGATTTAAAAATAAGGCCCAGGATCAGCAGAAAGAGCTGAGCGGGTGTCAGAGCTCACTTATGCTGTCAGGCCGAAGTCGGCATTTTGCGCTGATTAAAATAACAGCAGCTGTCCCGCCAGAGCTGCGGTGGGGCTAAAAATACCCCCGGGGCATAGCTTCCCTTAAAGGCTACTGCAAGCGGCGGCACCACGCAGGCAGCCTGGGCTTCGGGCGGGCGCTGCAGGGCCGGATCCCCTGACGCGCGGAGGAGCAGCCTGGGCCCCAGGGCTCGGTGGCATGGGGAGGCCAGGGGAGCCATCCAGCCGGGGGCCGGCGGGCGCGTCTCGCCAATCCGGCTCAGAGGTCCGCAAGTGAGGGTGACGCAACCACGAGTCTTGCCAAGATTTCATCCGTAACAGTGAGGACTAGTAACATGTTTGAGGGATGAGATTCTGCAGGGGGTGTCACTCGGCCTGCCGGGCTCGCTGCACACAAAGGGCCACCCAGTTCCAAACAATGCAATCCAAACCCGGTGGAGACCCTGCCCAGCTGAGGCAGCTCACACGGCCCACCCAACCCGGCGGAGGGAAGGAAACGCAGAATCCCGTGGCAAACGGGCACGGGCTGCAATCCGAACCGGCTTCCGCTTCATTCATCCCGAAAGCTCCTCGTGAAAGGGGCATAAATCAGGACCAACGGGCACATATTTGTCCAGGGTTCAAGGGCGCGAGTGCCTTGCCTCGGAGCTCCCTCTCTGGGCGAAGACGTGCGGAGGGAGCAGGAGAGGCTGAGGGGCAGCCGGGCACCGGCCGGACCAGACACCCAGGCAGGCGGCTGCAGCCCCGGCTGGCTTCCCAGCAGCCCCCTCCCTTGAACGCTGCCCGCTGCCTGCCCACAGCTCCCAGCATCCCCAGGCAGCGGGGCGGGCAGCGCAGGCCCTCGTGCTCGGAGGGCACTGGCTGGAGCGGCCCCTTGCGCCTGTGCCGGCGTTCGAGGGCCCTGCTGCCATCCCCGGGCAGAAGCGAAGCTCAGCAGCGTCACGGCCTGCCACATGCTCTGCAGAGGGCAGGCGAGCGGCTGCTGGGGGGGCTTGGGCGAGGGCCCCAGGGCCCCACACGCAAGACCCCCACGCACCCCGAGGGCTCCCCGGCTTCTGCTCTGGCCAGACGACGGCAGCAGCAAGGAGCAGTGGCGGGAAGGAGCAACGCCGGCCTGGCACCCGCTCGGGGGGCGGGGGGCCTGCTCCCCACGGCGCAGTCAGACCTTGCTCCAGCCCCCGGGGCACCTGAACCCCCCGCCCCCTCCCCGCAGCCCCCGCCCCACGCGCCCCGTTCGGGCCACGAAGGGTGCCACAGGCGCGGAGGGAACTGCTGACTCAAGCAGGCCTGAAATAGAGCGCGAGGAAGCGGCCGGATGGACGGGCAGATGGCTGCATTTGCTGCGGGGGGGGGCGGGGGGGAGCGCTATGTAACCACCTGGGGTTTAAAAAAGGATGCACAAGCGGGAGGACACGTGAAACAGTCCTGGCACCGGCGGCGGGAGGCGCTGGGGAGGGGCTTCTTGAGGGGCCTCCAGGTGGGTGGGCAGCTCTGGCAGGGGGAGCCAGCACAGCCCCCAGGCGCCCCGTCTGTCTCTCGCCTTGCTTCCACAGAGCAAAAACATTCCTGCTCCCAGGTGAGGAGAGGGACCTGAGAGGAACCCCGGTGGGCTGCCCCAGAACACACACCTGGAGAGCCCAGTGGCCATCCGGGCAGCCTGCATCTGCGGCTCGCAGGTGTCCTCTCTGAAGTGGAGTCTGTAGTGTGTGGTACACTGCATCTGAGCATGGACGCTTTACTTAGATGCCATGCCAAGGAGCTCTCTTTGTGCCACTCCATCTCCACGGGCAACTGCAATCACCTTTAAACCCGTCTGAGTGTTTGCTGGTAGCAAATTCCATAAAGAGCAGCACTTACTTCCAAATCATTTCAACCCGAATTGTCCTAAAACCGCCCTGGCTCGGTCCTGAATTTCCCACCCTTCAGCCTTGGGGGGAGGGGGGAAAGGCCTTCTGGCGTGACGGGAGAGGAAGGAAGGTTGCTGTCCGTCCACTTGCCCTGGGCCTCCCCAGACGGTGCCGCCACATCCTCCCCACTCCCCTTCCCCCGAGATGCAAAGCCCCCTCCCTGCTGGGGGCCGTGGCAGGCCTGGCCACAGGGTGGCCCTGCCCTGCCCTGCACCTTGTGCCTGGGCTGCCCGGCCGGTGAGGGGCCGCTCGGCTCGGCTGGGGGGCACGCGCTCCCGCACTTTGGCCCCCACATGTGCAGGGCCACGGACTCGCTGGGGGTGCCCTTGGGGCAAGAGGGCAGCTCTGCATGCCGGCGACAGCGGCCCCTGTGGTTGGGGGGGCGGACCCCGTGCCGGGCCCCCTTGGCCACCTCTGGCACGCCGAGCCGGCGCTGGCTCATGGGTGCTGCGCTGGGAGCGAGGCGCAGCCAAGCCCTGCACTTAACCGTGATTTATGGGCACAGCAGGTTTCCCACCTCGCCTGCCTCGCCTCGCCTCGCCTCGCCGGGTCCTTGAGCCAGGGAGCTGAGAGGGAGCTGCCCCTGCCGGCCTTCCCTCCCGCCCGCACCTGCCCCACGTCAAGTGCCGGAGCGCCTTAAAAACCCAAGCCCCGGGCAGGGTCAGCGCCCCGGCCTCCCTGCCAGGTGTGGGGCTGCGACTTTGCCCGGGGCAGGCGGACAGGAGAAGCCGGCACGTCTTCGGAGACTGGAGAGCCTGTCACACAGAGGAGGGTCCCTTCTCAGCTCCCCCAGGCACGGGACACGGGACACTGGACTCAAGTGACGGGAAGCCACGTTCTGGTGGGACATCAGGAACAGCTCCCGGCGGCTAAGGCTGCACAGCGACAGAAGCCGCGACCGAGCTGTCCCATGCCGGAGCCACGCGAGAGGGGCTGGGCTGGGCTGGGCTGGGCGGCCTCTGGGCCCCTCGGACTGGCCTGCGGCTCCTGCCTTGTGCTCGCGGACGGAAGGGACCTTGTGCCGCGTCGCACAGAACTGTCTCCTGCCCTGCGGTGAGACCTGGGACCCCGAGCTCGGTCCTCCGGAAGCCTGATTTGCAGGCAAGGACTTGAAGCTGCGCTCGGTGGCCTGGCGAACGTGCCCCAGGTGGCGGAGCCAGGCCATCGCACACGCGCTGCAGCACCCCGTCCGAGTGCGGGGTGCGTGCGCTGCCTTCCCCCCCGCTCCCCACCCCCGGCCTGCGCCTTCCACTGGCAGGCGCCTGGCCCTCTCCCTTTAATTCAGCCTGGAATTTCTTGGGAGCAGGAGAGGCAGCCCCTCCCGGAGATCCAGTTTCCCGGCATCTGCTGACACGCCTGCTTCAGCCTGATGGGCCCAGGAGGAGGCCGTGGAGGCGGGGGGGGGGGGGGCTCGCAGCACATCCCTCATCCGACCAACCGGCCGTTCCCAGAGGCAAAAGCTGCCCATGTGGATGAGCAGCTCCTGCGGAAACCCGGCAGTCCCACTCAGCGGATTCTGGGCGCCAGGCCACCTGCACCGGCCCGGCGGCCACCACGCAGCTCCCAGCCTCGGCCCACGTCTGCCTCGGGCTGTGGGACACGCAGTGCTGCCCGCGTGGTCGTGTGCACACAGGCACGTGGGCGTCTGCCGGGGAAGCTCTGGGGCGGCTACTTTCAGGCAGGGGCTTTCGAATAGGAGCTTGTCTTGAGTAGCAGAAGGCACTGCAAAGGGAGCTCGTTTGGGCTGGTAAAACATCAGGAGGCAAGGAGACCTTGGAGGAGGCAGGCTTTTCCTCGTGGGGCCGTGCCGCATGCGTCCCTCCCCAAGCCAGGGCTTCCTCCGGACAGGTGCCGGGAGGGTGCCCAAGCCAGCCAGCGGGCACTTCCTGATGCACGCCCTTTGCAATGCCAAAGAAACCATGAACCTCTGAGCCAGGCAGCTAGACCCCTTGAAGGCCTGGTCCTCCTCGCCCAGATTCACATGGCCACGAAAGGGCTTCCGCCACGCCGTCTGGGCACAACCTCCTGCGGGCTCTGAAGGGTGGCCCAGTCCCAGCCCGAAGGCAGACGCAGGCCCTGGGAGAGGTGCCCGGCAGCAGCCCCAGATAGGCAGGCGCACAGGCTGCCTGGGGACCCTGCCCTTCCGGGACGAGGCTGGGAAGGCCGCATCCGAAGGCCGCCGCACCTATCTGCGCACGCGGGGGCTGGCAAGGGTCTTGTCCGCTGTCACATCCTGCCCATCCCCAGGGAAACGCCGCGGGGGTGCAGGGAGACGATCCCCGGGCCACACACACGCTCACCTAGCCAGCCGCAGGTAACTCAAGCGCCCCAGAGAAGCGACCGCCTGAGCTGCTCAGGATCTGCCTCCCCCGCCCCCCCCCACCGCTCTCTAATTTCCCTTCCCTCCGCAGAAGCCGGTCTTGGTTTACCTCCGACTCCTCTGGCCTTATTTTTAGCTCCCCCCTCCTTCCCCTGGCCGCGCGCACCTCCTTCACCTCCCCCACCTTCCTTAATATGGCAATCAGAACATGCCGTGGGATTTAGGTCAGGAGAGCCGCAGGAGCGTGCCTGGGCCGGTGTGGGGGCAACGGGGAGAGGGGGACCCTCACCCGGGGCCCCATGGCCCCTGCCGGGGGGCCGGCACCCCCGTGGGGCTCCAAGGCACTGGAGGTCCGGTGCCACCCAAGGAGCCGCCCGGCCGGCATGCGGCCTTCGGTCTCCATAGACATATATAGGCAGGGCACGGGGGGGGGGTGGCGGGGCTGCCAAATGCCTCGGTCAGCCGTCCCTGCGCCCTCCCCCGTGAGGGCCTTTTAGAGGATGCCCGGCGCTCGGCGCCTCCGCTTTTGAAGCTCCGCGCCCCTCGGAGCGGCTGTCACCACCCGCGGCGCCCCCGCCCAGCCTGCGCTGCCTCCGTGTCAGCAACGCGCCCGGCTGCCACCCGGCCCCTCGCCCACCGCCACCTTAAAGGCAGGCAGGCAGGCGGGCAGGCCAGGCCAGGCCAGGCGGAGAGGCAGGCCGGCGGCCAGCAGGAGCCCAAGCAGCCCAGCCGCCCCTTGCAGAAGCCGGGCAGGGCTGTGACGCCGAGGCGCCGCTCCCCGTGCCGTGCCGTGCCGCTCTCCCTCCGTGGGCGCCGGGCACCCCCTGCGAGGCCACCCGCCGGGCGAGGATGCAGTGCCCCGGGCTGCTGCTGGCGGCGCTGCTGCTGGCTGTGGCCAGCCCCCCGGCCCGGGCAGAGGAAGGGCTGGACTTCCCCGAGTACGACGGCGTGGACCGCGTGGTGGACATCAACGCCAAGAACTACAAGGCCGTCCTGAAGAAGTTCGATGTGCTGGCCCTGCTCTACCACGAGCCGGTGGGGGACGACAAGGCTTCGCAGAAGCAGTTTGAGCTGGAGGAGCTGATCCTGGAGGTACGGCCCGGAGGGTCCCCGGGGCACGGAGGCTCCGTGGGGGCGTGTTGCGAGAAGCCCCCTGGGCTGCGGGTCCGCTGAGGAACTGGCCCAGCGGGCCTTGGGCCCACCCCTCCTTGTGGCCCCGGCGGGGTGAGGCCCCGGCGGGGAGCAGGGCAGGCGGGGCCCCGCAAGTGCCGGGCCCCTCCAGCGGCCCCAGCGTGTGTGGGCAGGGGCGGTGCTGCAGGGGGGCTTCCCACGGGAGCGGCTTCCGCCCTCGCAGCCCCGGGCTCCTCCATGGCTCCCCTCCCTTGGCGCCGATTCCTCCCACCGCTGACAGCCGGGCATCTCCGCACAACCTGCCCATCTCGGGGAAGGGCGCACAGCGGGGGTCCCCGGCGGAGCGGAGGGAAGACCGAGGTGCCGGCTCCGGCTTAGCCGTGGCGGCTGGGAGGGGTTCTCCGGGGCCCTTCTACCTGCGGCAACCCATGCCGACTGCACCACGCGCAGAAACCAGGGGCGGGAGGGGGCAGGTGCCCGGAGGCAGCCGGGGCACTGTGGGGGACCACGGCACGGCCGCTTCCCCCGGGGAGCCCGAGCGAGGGTCCCCCGGAGACAGGCCAGCTGCTAAATTGGCCCGCTCCATAATTGGAGTCCGGGATGGGAGGCCGAGCAGCCCCTCCCCACCCCGGCCCGGCCCTCTCCAGGACGGCTCAGAATAGTTTCCTTAGGAATCCCACACGGGGGGGGGGGCTGCAGCGGCTGCGTGGGGGCCGCGCACCCGGTCAGTGGAACATTCCGAAAACTGACCCGAAGGAGCAGGACACATTTCAGAGGAGCCGCCGGGAGGGAAGTGCCGGGCGCATTCCTTGGAACATCACCTAAGCGAGGATTAGTGGGCCAAGGAGAGGCCGCCGAGCGGGGCGCAGTGGGGCAGCGGGGGCAGCGGGGCAAAGGCCCCGGGCCTGCCGCGTCCCTTGGCCGTGGAGCTGCTGGACTTGGCGGCCGCCGCTCTGCTCTCGGCGACTGAGGGGTGCCGGGGTCCCTGAGCGCCATTTCCGCCGCGCTGTGCGGCTGGCCGGGCGCAGTTGCCTTCTGCCTGCTTGTGGGCGCCACCAGCATTTCTAGGAATGGATCAGAAACTGCTTGCACAAACGCACGAGTGCATGCACACTCGAGGGAGTTGGTGTCACGTGGCTTGGGAAAAGCCGGTCCCCGGGAATCCAAACTCGCTTGACTCCTCGTGAATCTCTCCAGCACCCCTGGGCAGCAAGCCGGCGGCGCTGCAGCGGAGGGCTTGGGCTTCCGTCTCGCTTCCCCCTGCGGCCAACGGACCCCCAGGGGCTCCCGGTAGTGCAACTCGGTCCTTTTTCACGCCGGGCCCCACAGTCTCGCTTGTTGCCGTGGGGTTTGGCACAGCACTGTGAGCAAGGAAGGAAGGAAGGAAGGAAGGCAGGAAGGCAGGAAGGCAGGAAGGATCTCAGTCTGTGCTGTGCAAGATTGGTGCAAGCTGAAACGTGAACGGGAAGATGCTGCATGCTGCCAGTCCTCATTGTTGCAACCGAGTGTGTGGCAGTGCAGGCCTTCTGGCAAAGGCTGGGACGCAAGGCTGCGTCTCTGCCTTCCTCGGAGCCAAGGTGGGGGAAGCAGCCCAGGCAGGGGAGGCCAGGTTGGCCGCAGCAAGTCACCCCCCCACCCCCACATAGCTGCCTGGCCTCAGGGCTGGCAGGAACGCGTCTCCCCGCCAGAGCGGGGGGGGGGGAGGGCTCTTTCCCAGGTGAGACATCTGAGCTGTGCTGAGTCGGTATTTCAAAACCGAGAAAAATGGACCCCCCGCCCCCCATGGCTGCCCTCAGAGAGAAATTCCGAGATGACTTCGGAGGATGGTCATCTCTTCCATCCTCCAATCTTCCCTCGCCACGCCTGCCGGGTGGGCGCTCGCCTTCGCAGCACCGGAAAGGTTTGGCGGCGGCAGCCCAGCCGCCAGCGCCCCCTGAGAAGCCGCGGCAGCTGCACGGGGAGAGGCGGCCTGGGCACACGCAAGAGACGCCCCTTGCAAGACCGTCCGGCTGGCGGCCTGAGACGGGGCCCACACGGAACCCCACGCGAGCCCCCCAGCTGCCCCCGGGGCCCCTGCCCAGTCAGGGCCTCTCCTCAACATGAGCCGAAAGGGGAGGACATCGCGTCCGGCAGCACCCGCACGCCACTCCGGGAGGGCTTCCACGGCACGGGTCTTTGCTGTGCCAACGGCAAGGGACCCCAGCTCCGTCCCAGCATCTCCCAGTGGAGCCAGCAAAGAGCCTCCGCCCGGGTCACGCGCCCATGGTCCCTCTCCACTCACCTGGAGGTGGGACAGCCAAGGGGGGCAAAGTCGGCCATGCCTGGGTGTCCCCTGCCACCCGGCTCCCCTGCTCTTTGAGTATTTCAAGCACTGGCGTCCCACACGCTTCAACATCTGGCACGCAACCGTTTCCTTACTGGCCTTTTTATCACGGCATTTTGGGTTCAATAACTGACTTCATGTGGGATTTTATATTCAAGGACTGTTGAAACTTGGAAAGGTTTCAATGACGGTTGTTTTCACCAGTTGATCTCTGACACGGCACATTTGGTGCTTGAAAGGAAACAGCCCCTAAACCAATCCTGAGTGAAGCTACATGTCTGAATTTTTAAAAGCCCAACTTTTAGAAACCTGTTTGTCATGAATAGTCATTATTTTGCTAACAGGCTGAATGACGCAGGCCAAAATGCGGTGCTCAGCCGGCTCTGCCTCCCCAGTGCCATTCCGTTCTACAGCTTTCACAAGTGGTGCAGAAAGCAAAAATTCAAAGCAGCTTTCTTTTCCCCCTGCCACATTCCTCTAGTCAGCCGCAAACCCACCATCTTGCTCCCCTTCAGTCCGCCCAGAGGGGTCCCGGGAATGGTCCCTGACCTCGGCTCCCTGCCCGGCATTCCCTCGCCGAGAGCCGCTCCAGGCCGTGGAGCAGGGCTGCCATCCCACCGGCCGCCCTCTGGGAAGGCGGAGGATGCTCGAGCCGGGCCCTGCCGCCAGCCAAGCACTCGCGTGCCTCGCGGGCACGGACGCCTTCCCTGCTGTGGAGGGCACCCATGGGCCGCAGCAGCTGCGCACGGCTCGGCTCGGCGGCCGCAGCGAGGGGCACGTGGCCGCCCCAGGGCTCCACACCCCTTCGTGCCGCTGCTCACAGCGACTCTCCCCGTCCCCGCCCGCCTGTCCCTCTTTTTCCCAGTTAGCAGCCCAAGTCCTGGAGCATAAAGGGGTCGGGATTGGCCTGGTCGACTCAGAGAAGGATGCGGCGGTGGCCAAAAAGCTAGGTAAGGGCAGCGCGGTGGGGGCACAGCAGAGCCGGGAGGGGCCCTCCTGGAAGAGGGGCTGGGAGGGGAGCCGAGCCACGGAGGCCCGTGCCCACAAGTGCGGCTGCCGCCTCCTAGTCCTGGACTTGCTGTGCCGGGAGCCAGCAGAGGGCAGTGGACGCACGCAGATCCCCACAGAGGCTGAGCTGCGGCGGCCACGGAGGATGCCCTCCTGGCCATGAGCACGGGCTTGGAGGCGTCCACACAGGCAGAAGGGCCCTGCCCCAAAGAGGCTCCAAGCACACACTCACGCCCCATCCTGGAGGCTGCAGTGCCGCCCCTTGCCCTGCTCCCGCGGCAAACTGCGAGGAACCGCACAGAGGGGAAGGGGCGCACGCCGTCTCGGGAGGCACCCCGGCCAAGCCGGCAGGCTGGACCCGGGCCAAGGGCTGCCGTCTGTCCCCCCACTTAGGGCTGACCGAGGAAGACAGCGTGTACGTGTTCAAGGACGAAGAGGTCATCGAGTACGACGGGGAGCTTTCTGCCGACACCCTGGTGGAGTTCCTTCTGGATGTAAGTACCGGGTGCAACCAGGCGCTTGCCCTGCTGCCCCCGGGGCCCGGGGGGCTCTGTGGGAGGCACTCTGGGCCCTTCAGACGGGGAAGGGAGGATGGGTCCGGGGGCCCGGTGGACACGCCTCGCCCTCAAGGGCCGTGGGCCAAGCCTCGCCACCCTGTGCTTGGCCTCAGGTGCTGGAGGACCCGGTGGAGTTTATCGAGGGAGAACGTGAACTCCAGGCGTTCGAGAATATTGAGGATGAGCCCAAACTCATCGGATACTTCAAGAACGAAGACTCGGAGCGTACGTGCCGGTCCTGGGGCGGCGGGGAGGCCCATTCCACAGCCTGCCAGCCCATGGTGGCTCCTTCGCAGGGGTGCTCCCGAGGCACCCCCCTCCTTGCAAGCCCAGCGTGCCAGCTCCTGGGGGGGGGGGAGCAGCCTGCAGCTGAGCCGCCCGGCCTGCCCCTCTGGCCCCACCCCCAGCCCAGCCCGGCCCGGCCCCCTTTCTCCCGCAGGGGCTCCCCCCTCGCCGGAGCCGCCCTTGGCCGAGAAAAGCTTTGGGGCAGGTGAGCCCTGCAGGGGGCGTGTGCGGGGGCCCAGCCTGGTCCACTGCCCCCGTGCCCCCTGATGTGGGCAGCCGCCCCTGCACACGGCCCCCCTCGAGGATCCCCGCCTGTGGCGGAGCGGCGTCCACACGCAGCCCCTCCACCTCAGAGGACAGAGAGAGCAGCCCTGCATTTCAAGCCACGTGGGGGCCTTGGGGGAGGGCCCCCAGGGGCACGATCCTCAGCCACGCACCCCTGACTTGCCACACTCGTGGGGTTCAGGCGTCCCACTTGCGCCTTCCAGATTTTAAGGCCTTCGAAGACGCCGCGGAGGAGTTCCATCCATACATCCCGTTCTTCGCGACCTTCGACAGCAAGGTACGTGGCTGGGGGGGGGGTGATGGGGAGCCCCTCCGACAGCCAAAAGGGAAAACCGGGCCGGCCGGCGGGATGCTTGTGGTGGCCTCCGCGGGGGAACTGGCCCAAAGGATCCAGGCCCTGCTGAGTCCGTGGGATGCAACCTCCATCAGCACAAGCCAACAGGACGGGAGTTGTGGCCCAGCAGCAGCAGGGGCCGGACTGGGCAAGCCCGGCTCAGGCCCGGCAGCGTGTCCGCGGTGGCCCGGGGCCGCCCACCCCAAGCCGCCCGCCCGCCCGCCTGCCTGCCTTTGGGCTCCGCCGGGCCTCCGTGCCGGGCCAAGGAAGGGGGTCTCGGCCCGCCAGGACCTGCTCTGCTTGGCCCAAATCCGGAGGCGCCAGAGCCTCTGCCAAGGCAGGAGCAGCCCTGCGGCTGCTTTTCAGGAGCACGGGGGGGGTGCATGTTCAGGGGCCCCCAGGAAGACGCCCCTCCTCTCCGTCCCCAGGTCGCCAAGAAGCTCTCGCTGAAATTGAACGAGATTGACTACTACGAGCCCTTCATGGAGGAGCCGGTCACCATCCCGGACAAGCCCAACAGCGAGGAGGAGATCGTGCAGTTCCTGGAGGAGCACAAGAGGTGCAGGGGCGGCGGGGTCCCCGTGGCGCGGCAGCCTCCCTGCGCGAGGGGCACCGGCCCACCTCACGCCACCCGCGAGCGCCTGGCCCCGCCAGGGCCCCGGAACCTCTGCGGCCGCTCGCCCCTCCGCGCCGGCCAGGAGGGGAAGGACCTGAGAAGAGGCGGCCCAGGGACGGAGGCACCGGCACCACCGCAGAGATCCCGGCGAGTGCCGACGGGACCCCTCGGGGCGCTCCTGTGCTGCCCCGTCTGGACAGGGCGGCGCCCCTTCGGTTGCTTTGGCCCCGACGGCCGGGCTCTCCGGCAGCCACCGCCAGTGGGCCAGATTGGGGCTAGGGCGGGTCCTCCAGGGCTCAGGCCGCCCTCCCCTCCTTGGGCGCTTGTATTTCCACGCTGCCGCACAGCCAAAGCTCTCTGCGCACTTCACACACACCATAAAAAAGCTGACCGAAGGACAATAAAATACCAGACAATCAAAAAGCGCGTAAAAGTTTCAAAGAGCTAGAAACAAATAATAAAAACATACACTAACAAGGGATAACAGAAAGAGTGAAGGGCGAATTGCATCCGCTAAGCGCCTGCCGGGCTCTCCCAGCCCCCAAAAGCCACCGAAAAGACGCCCCAACCCAGCGCCAGCCCTGTGGCCCTCGCCTCCCCCGTGCGGGGCTCCGGGCACCGAGGGACCCGCTCACCCCTCCGCCACTGCCCTGGGAAAGGAAGCAGGGACGGCACACGTCCCACACGCCATGTGCCCCAGCAGTCCCTGGCCAGGAGCGGGATATGGTGCTGGGGACGATGGGAGTCCAGCCCTGCCTGTTCTCCCCCATTTCTCAGACGCCCTCCTCTCTGTTTCCTGCAGGCCGACCCTGAGGAAGCTGCACCCGGACAGCATGTACGAGACCTGGGTAGGTCCAGGGACGGGGCAGCAAAGGAGCGAGGGGGCCCCTTCCAGGATCCGTGCCCCCGAATGTTTGGGCTCTGGCTTACCAGGGGGCTCGCACCATCTAAAGGGGGGGGGGGTTCCTGGCACCATCTCCTGGGGCGCTGCCTTTGCTGGGCCGGGGACTCTGGCCACCCGAGTGGCTTCCCGCGACGTTCGCTCGCGCGTCCAAACGGCGAAGTTCGGCTCGTGGGCGAACGCAACGAGAGAACCGGCAGCTGCCGGACCTGCTGGCCGCATGGAGCCGGGCTCAGCGCAGCGGAGCAGGGGTGGCCTGCAGAGCGTGCAAATGGCTTCCCTCCGGGTCGGAACCACCCCACCAGGCTGGCCGCCGGCGGTGCCGAGAAGGCAGCCAGACCGGGCAGGCAGGCTGCGTGCGGCGGGAGGAGATGCGGGGGCCCGAGGGGGCGGGAAGTGGGGAGCCGTGAGCCAGGACAGGGCCACCACAGAGCAGTCCAGCCCGGGCCCAACCCACACCGGAGGCGCACGGCTGGGCGAGGGGCGAGTGCTCGCGCAGCTTCACTGGGCGGCACTTCCTCCGTGCGCCCTGGCACACGCCTCTAACACGCAGGTGCAGAAAGGTGTGCGCGGGCATTTTAGCCCCGTGGAGCGAGGAACCCGCTGCCCCTTCACCCAAGGTCCAAATGCGGCGGGGGAACCGGCCCAGAGGGGCAGAAGCTGTGTGGCTTGCTCCAGGCCGGCCCACACCGAAGAGACGCCTGGGCCAAAGCTCAGCTCCCCTGCAGGAGATACGCGTGTGCACCCCCCCCCCGGCCCCCCGGCCGGCTCCTCTCACAGAGACACAACGCGACTTCCCATGAATAATGCAGCGCGGTGTGAACACACAAAGGCAGCGTCTCTGGTGCAACCCGATGCGGAGCGCTGGGCAGGGTCCTAAATTATACATCCGGCTCCCCGCCCTGTGCTGCTGGGCACCGGGGCGGGGGCCCTGCGGCCCCCTCCCTGGCATCGACCCTTCCCAAAACCCACCGCCAATGCGCAGGGTTGCAGGCTGCGGAAGAGCCCCGCCTCATTCACCAGCGGGTGGGAAATGGGCAGCCCACCGGCATGCACTCCCCAGAAAGGGACAGGCCAAGGCCAGCGGCGTCTCCCGCAATGCCGCCTGCTTGGCCGTTCCCATTCATGGCCCCATGAACCGGGCCCTGGCAAGAGGGGGCCGGTGGCCCGTCACATCTCTCCCTCCCTCCCTCCCTCCCTCCCTGCAGGAGGACGACATGGACGGCATCCACATCGTTGCCTTTGCGGAAGAAGACGACCCCGGTGAGCGGGGGGCATTCTGCAGCCAGCGCCCCAGGGAGATTCGGTCCCACGGTTATCGGTTCTGGGGCCTGAGCAGAGCGGGGCCTGTCCAGCCTGGCGCTTCCTCCACCCCACGGCTCACCCGCTGTCCCCGTGGGAATGTGGAGCCTGGGACCAGGGGGTGTTCAACAGGTGCAGCGCGATCCGCAGCACAGCCGAAGGAGGCCTTCCGGTCGAGAGCGGGATGAGCTTGCTTGGCCACCGGCTGCCTGCAGGGAGAACCGAGGCACGCAGAAGCCCCGGCCTCTCACGCCGTCTCTTCTCCTGCTTGTCCCACAGACGGTTTTGAATTTCTGGAGATCCTGAAGGAAGTGGCCCGAGAAAACACCGACAACCCAGACCTCAGCATCATCTGGATCGACCCCGAGGACTTCCCACTGGTGAACAGCTCTTTAAATGGCGGGTGGGTTTCGGGCCACGGCGGGAGAGCAGGTCACTGCCTGGCGCTCCGTGATGCGGAGCTGTTCTTGCAAGGTGGGCTCCTCAGAGCAGGAAAATCTGGGCAGGACAGGAAGGCGGGCATTCAAAAAGCGAGCCAGAACGTGAGGTGGGGTCCCCTCGTCAGTGTGGGGGGGTCTGTTTCGCTCAGGGACCCCCTCCCACTTCCCTGTCGCTCTGTCTGGTCGGGCTGCTTTCTGGGCTCTGGAGCTGCGTGTGGTGGCCAAGCACCTCGCAGGAAAGGAGAAACCCAGAAGGCGACAAAAGCCACCAAGGTGACGGCACCGTGGCCTGGAGCTGCGGTCCACTTCCCCTTGTTGCCTGAACTGGGGCAAGGGGACACCAGAACTGCGCCCCACCTTTCGGCTTGTCCCCCAAGGACACCGGAGGAGTCCTCTGTCTGTGCACACGTGCTTGTGGGTCTCACTTGCGTTCTGAACCCCTTCTCCTCCTCAGCTGATCCCATACTGGGAGAAAACGTTTGACATCGACCTGACCCGGCCGCAGATTGGCGTGGTCAACGTCACAGATGTGAGTGTGTGCGGCAGCGCCCAGGCCGGCCCCCGTGCGTGTGGTTGGGGTCCCGGTCCGTGGCAGAGCCTTGGCGGGCCCACAGAAGGCCCAGGCCGGAGGCCAGGCACCTGCCGGGAAGGGCTCCTGCCCCCGGTGCTGCGGGGCTGGGGTGACCCTCGCTTCAGCCCCGGAGCGGCTGTGGGAGGCAGAGAGGGCCCTCCGGGTGGGGTCTGCAGCCCTCCGAGGTGCCTGCTGCTGCGGGCTGCGCCCTCCCCAACCGCCTGCCCCCGGTGTTCCCGCCGCAGGCCGACAGCATCTGGCTGGAGATGGACGACGAGGACGACCTTCCCTCTGTGGACGAGCTGGAGGACTGGATCGAGGACGTGCTGGAAGGGGAGATCAACACGGAGGACGATGACGAGGACGAGGACGACGACGACGACTAGAGAGCGGCGCCTCCCTTTTTGGGGATCAGGCGGGCCCCGCGGGGCCACCCTGTGCCATCCCTTTGCCCCCAGGGTCGCGCAGCCAACCTTCCATCCGTGCGTTCGGCCTGCACAGAAGGGGCCCCCCCGGAGCCCGTCATGAGAATGCCTTTTTATATCGCTCCTGTTTGCGTCCAGCCCCCACCTGTCCCCCCACCCCGACACGCCCCCTCTGGGGGCCCATTCTGCCCCTGCCAGTGCTGAGGGAAAGCTGGCCCCGCAGCGCCTCTCTGCCCCCCATCTCCCCGCAGCCACCTTTGCCGGGCTGTCTCGGCACTCCGGAACGCAGCCCTCACCGGGCGCCCCGCCATGGGATGCTCTGGCTTCCTGAAATCCGGAAGGCAAAGAGGCACCCGGTAGCCAGTCAAGCTGCCCACCCATCCCAGGTCTGCAGCCGGCTCCGGACCGCCGAGGGAAGCAGGCGGCCCACGCGGACGAGCGATCCCGCAGGTGGCCGCTCCGCCGGCAGCCGGACTGGAAGAGCAGCCGACCGGTCCTCCTCGATGCCTTGCAGGAGCTCTCACACGTGTCCCCCAAGCGGATCGCTCCTTCCCACCCCCAAAACCACCCCCACTGCATTCTTATCAGAAGGGATGAGACAGGTATCAATACTAAAATTACATGCAAATTTAACCCTGGATTTGGGGGAAAAGAGAGACATTTCGGCTAAAATTGTCTGTTGAATTTGGGGGAAACCAGCTCAGCACCCAGAGGGAGACAATGTACAATTTGTATATTTTTCAACAAGTTTGTACAGATCAAACCAAGTGATTAAAGACGATCAAACAGTAACACACGAGCCTGGAGAGGTGCCTTCCCCTCCTGCAGAAGCAGAGCGCACGGCGGACTCTTGTGGGCACTGGCTAGGCGTGTGTGCGTGGGCGTGCGTGCGTTGCGAGCGTGCAAACCTCACGTCCGGGAGCAGAAAGAACTGGGAAAGGAGGCTTGTCCTCGGTCAGTTCTGCTTGGCACAGAAGGAAGCCACGCAGATGTTGGGGGGAGGCGTGGGAATCTCAACCCGTCTCTTGTCCCGCGGGCCAGGGCCTCTTGCAGGCAGGGCCGGGCCGGGGGAGACGCTCAGGTGAGCAGGAAGGGACCCCACCCAGGTGCCTTCTCCTCGCTGCTTCGTGCTGTGCGTTGCCACGGTTACCTTGCCATAGAAACGGAGGGATGCAGCGCCTTGCAGCCACAGGCTCCATGACGCCGGCCCGCCTGGCCGTGGAGGGTGCGAGGGGGGTGCCTTGCCGCACCGTGCCGAGGGGGCAGGGGGAGACGGGGAGGGGGCAGGGCTGGTGCCCGCACGGCCGGTGGGGCTGCCCCACGCCCCTCACTCAGGCCTCGTGCGCCTGTGCCCGGCACCCTCCCAAACCACGCAATACACACATGCGACACGCTTGGAAACAGCAGCGCAAGAAACGTTGGGGCGACGCCGGGAGAGCGCGGGGCGCACACCGAGGAGGGCCCGCCGGCAGGCCCAGTGGGCAAGCCCCATTCCGCCTCCCACTGGGGGCCAGGTGTCCTCCTCAGCAGAGGGCAGCCCTCGCCTGAAGGAGCCCCGCCTGGGAAGAGCTGCCCGGTCCAGGTGTGGCGGCAAGGCGAAGCAAGAACCAAGTGAGAACAGCACCACCTAGAGCTGGCCACTCCTGCGCCACGCAGGCCGACCCACACGCGGTTCCCCGGCGGGCAGCTCTGCTTTCGTCCGCAGCCTCGCAGCCGTTTAGGCGACAGCCATCCTTTCCGAATGCCCCCACCGCAATTGCCACCTCTGTGGGCCAGGTGGAGTCGTCCGCGCCAGCTGCCGCACCGCCTGCCGACCGAGCACGACGGGATGGGAGCCCGGCAGCTGCCGGACTGGGCTCCGACCCGGCTTGCTGGACCAGCCAGCTGCTCCTTGTGGGGGCGCCGGGAGCAGAGGTTCCAGCCGGCCCCGCCAGCCCCAGCCTGACTGCGGAGAGGGAGGCCCCCACACGCCCACAAGCTCACTCAACCTCTCCGGAGGCAGAGCGATCCCTGCCCGGTGGCCCCACTGCCCACACCTCACAGCCCGGGGGCACCCAGGAATGCCCAGCTGCAGGCTGTCGCAGGGCGTCTCCCGAAAAGCACAGTTTTCGCCCAGGACTGGGCGGCCACGGGAACACCCAGGGCTGCCCCCCTTGCAGCCAGCGCCATGGGGGGCCGGCATGGAAGCTCGGCCAGGAGCCCCAGCGAGGCCTCACGTCGGACCGCCCGGGGGGCAAGCGATGCCTGGCCAGGGACGGCATGCAGAGCGCCCCCGCGTGGCCCGCTCGACGAGGCGCCCGGAGAGGAGAGGTGTTTCCGAGCGCCGCGCATCCCAACGGGCCCATCCGTGCCACCTGCAACGAAGGGGGTTTCTTCCCCTTCGTTGCCCGCTGGCCGGGAGACCTGTGCTCCGGAGGCAGCCCAGCCCCCGCCCGGTGCCAGGACTCAGCCTCTGGAAGCGGCAGCGAGTCAGCGCGGATCCTGGCGGCCGGCTGAACTGCACTGCTTGCATTCTGTGCCACTTAAACGGCCAAAAGCACGAGCCAGAGCCGGCCCCACCCCAGCAGGGCCCGGCTTCCAGCCCCCTGTGCCGCTGATGGGACTGGATGAATAATATATGTGAATGAGGCATCAGAGGCAGCCCGGAGTCCAAGTTTGCATCGCTCGCGCTCGGGAAACATTCCGGCCATCGATCATTCCTGCTGCACTCTGGAAATGCGCTCGCTTGCTCGTTTCCCAGAGTGATCTGCTATCGTTACTGGATTGCTCAGGTGCAGAAAGTAAGCGTATGAAGTGCCAGGGAAGGGCTGCAGAAGCTCCCCAGAGACAAGAGGCTAGAACATCCCGGCTTTGTCCCCTGCAGAAACCGAAACGGCGGGGCATGAGAGAGGAGAACGAAGTACGTGCAGTGCAGAGAAGTGGGCAGATCCCCCCACCCCAGTGCAGGCCACCCGGAGTCCCCCACAGGAGGTGAACGCGGGGGGCTGCTGGGGGGCATGCCGGGAGGACAAGGCCCCTGAGCTGCAGCAGGGCAGCTCCCGGGCCGCTTCCCATGGGTTCTGTCAACATGCAGCTTTCGTGGCTCGCGCTTTCCCACATCCGCCCAGAATGTGCGCCTTCTCCCCAGCCGGTCATCCTGCAATTAGCGAGTGAGGTGGCTCCTGAGCTGGGCCTTCCTGACTGCAGAAAGTTCAAACTCAGGGCAGGCATTGTTTGAAAAACCCACCCACACGCAGCGCAGCGCAGGGTGGGCAAGTCCCGGCTGACCAGCGGCCCACCTGGTCACCTGCACATAAGGTTGCCAGAGGTGCGCAGAAAAGGTGGAGGGGAGGGGAGGGGAGGGGAGGAGAGGAGCCCAGCTCCTCGGAGGTGGCTGGAGCCGGTGCAGCCCGGCGCCGACATGGACGGGGGTCTCTGGGGGCAACAGAGTTCTGCCGCGCTGGGGCAGTGGGGGGAACGCAGAGGGGCCTTCCGCCCCTCTTCCCTATTCCCACACTGATCTTCAGACACACCTCTGAGACTGAGGGAGGCTTGGCTGGCGGGGGACACGACTCTCTTTTTCACGCAATGCCAGGCCGGCGTGCAGGATCTCCCGCCGGGGGTGAGCGGATGACCACGCTGGGCTTCAGAGGGCAATGGGGCAGGCGGAGCCCGTCGGCTGGCAGTGCAAGAGGCCCACTGGGAAGGCAGGCCTTCCTCGGGAGAAGTCCCACAAGCGGGCTGGCAGCCCCATTGATCCGTGCCTGTGAGCCTGGAACAGCGGTGGCGTTTTTGCCGGGATCCTGTGCCATGCCCCCAAGGGACCGAACCTCGCGGCGGGAGACACACGCCTTCCCCACAACTGCGGTGGGGCAACCCCTCCCATCGTTCCAAGCCATATGATGGGATCTGAAGTCCACCACATCTGCCGGGCAGCAGTCTCGGGAAGGTGGACCAAAATTCTTGCAGCCGAGCCTGGAGTACAAACCCGGCCTGTGTTTTTAAGGGAAGCCGCTGGCACGCCCCGGAGCGTTCCCTCCTTCTCTGCCCACAATGCCCCGCTCATCCGTCGCGTTGCATTAAAAATGCACGAGAAGCATTTTGAGTCTATTAATATCAAGCCTTGTAAAAGCTTTTACACTCTCCCCTTGTGCGAGATGGCAGGCCCAGGCAGCCGCGCAATGCCCCAGGCCTCCTGCCGCAGCAGCGCTGTGCGGAAGGTGAGCCCGCCGTCGCCCCGATCGGTGCCCTTGAGCCCAGCTTGCCGCGTGTGGCGAGGCCGAAGGAACCGCGCGGAGTGCAGAGGCTGCCTGCCTGGCGGATGAGGGGCGGCTCGGGCGGGCCTTCCAGAGGGGCCGAGGGGCTGCTGCCTCCCCTCGAGGACCAGAACACAAAGGGAGCAAAGCAGCCCCCTCTGCACCGGCGGTCCTGCGGGACGTCGTCACACCGGGAGGGGCCGGTGCTGCCCCCGCACCCAGAAACGGGGGCTTGCGAAGGCGCAGCAGTTCAGCCCCTAATCCAGGACGCCAAACCCTCCCACAGCAGGCCCAGCGTCGTGCTGCAGGTCTCTGTTCGCCGGACCCCAAATGACCTCAGAAACGACTCGCCACCGCCCTGCCACTCAGGCCGCCGCGGAGGAGTTCGGCAACCCGGGTGCCGCCACTGCTTCGCCCTGCCTGGGTTCGTGTGGTCGCAGAGATGAAATCATGCCGGCTTCTTTCCCCGCCCACACGGGCCGGCTGCGCCCCACAGGACCGGCCCCCTGCCCACCATCATGCGCGGCTCCCCGTGCCATCCGAGGCCACTGTCAGCATGCCCCTCCCCTGGTCCAGAGGATGCGGGAAACCATGTGCCACGAGGAGGATGTGCAGCGGCTGGGCACACAGTGGGCCCCCCTTTCCGCTTTTGTGGAGCCCGAGAGGCCCCAGAGGGACGGGGTGCCCGGCTTCTCCACCGGCAGAAAAGCGCAGAGATTCCGGCGCCACTGCCCCTCCCTCCCCCAGATCGGAGATGCCCACCCACAGGGCAGCCAGCGCTTCCCCCAAGGCATCTGGGATGCTGGGGGGCAGCGGGGGGCAGCACCACCTGGACCATCGCGGGGCACCCCTGGCCTCGAGGCGGCAGCTCCCAGCGGCCCAGGACAGGCGCAAGCTGGCAGCTCTGGCCCAGCCCCTGCTGCGGGTCAGCGGCTGCCTCAGCGCCCCCCGCGGGCTTCAGGGTGTCCCGGGGCTCCCTCGCCCCGCGGGGCTCCTTGCGGGGACAGATTGGGCCCATGCCAGCTGCATGCGCAGCCGTGCTGTGTCAGCAAGGGAGCTGCAGACGCGTCTCTGGACTTTCTCAGTTCCTCCTTTAATACGATGCAGACAAAGCCGGCTTCCGGCTCCATTTCTGGCACAGCAGGAGACAGAAGCAAAGCCGGAGCAGCCTAACACGAGAACTATGCACAGCGTGCGCGCGCATGTGTGTCCAGCCATTGAAAGCGGAGCAGTGTCAGCCGATGAGGAGGAGGCAACCAGCCCTCCTTCAGCTGTAGGCTGCAGCCTGACTGAAAACGGAGTGGCCCTGTTCCCCCCCCCCCTTGTCGCTCTGAGGGCCGCTTGGCCGCTGTTTCCGCGTTAGGGCCCAACCACACCAAGAAGTTCCTCCAGGCCCCCGTGGGCCGGGGGCCGGCTTCCCTCTGGGCTGCGAGGCAAAACTGGCCGGCAGCTCCAGCCATGCCAGGGAGGGAAATGCAGAGATCGGGCGGGATGTGTCTGGCCAGGCTTTCCTTGAGCCGCGCTGGGCTCTGCAGGCAGCAACAGCC